GAGACAGAGCAGAAAGACTTGCAGTAAAAACAACAGCAAAAAAACTGAAGCGTGGAGGATACAGGAACCAGCAATAAAGAGTGAAAACGGACAAATGAAGGAAGAAAAAGGAAGCTGCAGGAGGCTGAAATGTGGGAGATGCAGTGTGGGGCAGGGGGTAAATTAATGAAGAGTGGGCTGATGTGAGGAAGGAAGAGATGGAGAGAACAGAGAGATGACAACGAGGGGGAAGGGAGTGACGTACAAAGGGAAAGCGAGATGAGAGAGACAGAGAAGTGATGTCTGAGACATAAAGGCATGCAGACAGTGAGAGTAGGAGAGAAAGAGATTTAATAGGGTGGGAAAATGAAGAGAAAAGCCTTATCTAAAACTAATGGACTCGGATGTCATTTGAGGGACTTTCAGTGTTTTTGTTCTCACAGAAATAGGAATACACCCCAGTCTGGATGTAATACAGTCACTGTGAACGCATCTGTGCGTGTGCAAAGCTGTTCAAGTCATGACCAACAGGCATGTTAATGCATCTCATCACTCAGTGTGTGTCCCGTGCACATCACACACGGACTGTGCATAACCACACATACATCAACAGAAATACACAGATGTAAAAGTTACCAGTGATCTTGAATCAGTATCAAATGTTCAGAATAGCAGGAAAGATAAATTGTCTGGGATTTAGGGGGATATATTGGCAGAAATTGAATACAAGATAATAAGTATATTTTCTTTAGTGTATACTCACCTAAAAATAAGAATTGTGCTTCCATTACCTTAGAATGAGCTGTTTATATCTACATAGGGAGCGGGTCTTCGTACACAGAGGTCACCATGTTGCACCGCCATGTTTCTGTGGTAGCCCAGAAGAGCCAAACACTGGCTCTAGATAGGGCCGTTGGCATTTTTTCATCGACTCTACTCTAGTAATGTACCGTACATCTGAAAAGCTCCGCTTCTCAGCTTTCAGAATCTGTTGGAATTACGTCAATAGTGTGAATGGTCGAGGAGTTACGGTCATTTGAAAAAAAAATAAAAAAACAAAATTAAAATCGATTATGAGATTTCCACATCGATACTCGCATCATTCAAAACAGAATCTCGATGCATCTAAAAATCGTTCCCCCCACCCCTAAACCCTGGCGCACAGGGTTCACAGTGATGATGTCACAGCCAGGGCTGTGATTGGTTGATGTCCGTCCAGGAACATGATGTGGGATGTTGATCCGGGAGCATATCCTACTTGGCGAAATCTCGTTGTGTGAAAGGCACTAGACGTCCTGTGGAATATGAGTAAATGTTAGTATGTTAATAGCACATTTTTGAATTAGGAACTTAAAATACTGACTTCAGTTTTATTTTTTTTTTTTTTTAAATAAATTTATTAATCCCCTCCGAGGGGAAATTCAATTTTTTCACTCTTTTGTCATTAACACACAGAAAGACACACACATGCACAAACAGGACCTATACATGCACAAAGTGGAGGGATATCAGAGTGAGGGGCCTGCCTTGGTCAGGCGCGCTTGGGGGGTTCGGTGCCTTGCTCTCGACAGTGCCCAGGAGGTGAACTGGCACCTCTCCAGCCACCAGTTCACTCTCCATATTTGGTCCAGACGGGGACTTGAACAGGCAACCCTCCGGTCTAGTTTTATTGTTGCTGCAATGCAATTTCTATTTCAGTTTTGCACATTTGCTGCCAGTACTGGCCGCTGACATTGACCCTCCGACGGTAATACTCATATGTAAGTCATTTTGCTTCTGTAGCAGCGTGTCAGTGCCTTGATTAAACACCATGGGTGTAAAGAGGTGAAGACAAAGAGTCAAGTGGACAGGGTCACAGTGAATATGGTGAGCTACATAAGTTATGCTCTCTCTAATGGAGGACGAGGGATAATTGGGTCATTTCATCACAGCTGAGTGAGTGCGGAAAGGTTAGAGATTTAATGGGTGAGACCTTCATCAACAATTACCATCAGAGAGAATCCACATAGTGTCTGCACTTCTATAAGACATGAGAGGGAAGGCTAGGAATTAATGTACACTGTATAGCACACAGGTTTTTATTTGTCAGCCACAAGCAACATTGTACACACAGACATGTTGGCAAAAGATGAAACCGCTGAGTTTGTTCGCCCTGAGAGAGATGTCTGCACGCACACACAGCTCTGTGCGGTGGAAGACACTGTTACTGGAGTGAAATAGATTTATTTAAGAACAAGATGTCTGAACGCCTACAGCGTGCCCCTCTGCCACTCTCAACAGACTCCCATCACATCTGTTACAGCCACACACACACACACACACCCACCAACACACAGGTCGAATGCTGGCTGTGAGACTGAGCTGACATATTAACAACCTTTCTATTCTTAGACAAGTTGATTTTGCTGGAATGAATGAACGACCTTTACGCCGAAATAGAATCACTTTAATTATCCGTGTGTGTTTGGATTGCGTACAAGAGAGAAAGTCGGGGATCGTCGTAGCCTCCTGTCTGTGTGTGTGTGTGTGTGTGTGTGTGTATCTGATATGAATACACACCGGGCTACTTTCACCTGTTACGTCCTGCCAGGTCAGATCTGTTACTCTCTCTTCTTCTTCTTCTTCTTCTTCTTCTCTGCTTCCTCTTCTTCTTCCTCCTCCCCTTCCAACAGACGGGCTCCCCACCCGCCTTGTCCCCTGCTCTCTTGTTGCCATGGCGATGGATGACATAGATGAGATGGGGGTCTGGTTAGAAGAAGAGCCACAAAGCTCGGTGTTCTCACCCTATGTATTTTCATCACGTTGCATCACAATTAGCCTGTTAATGCTAAAAATGGAAAGACCTCACAACGTTGGCATCTCATGAACACGTTGGCTCGCTCCGCACTCTGAACAAGAAACCTTTATTATCCAGAAGCCATTGCTACCAGCATGACAACTGAAACTCAAGTATTACATCTACCACGGAGGAAATATTGTGATGTATTTTCTGCCTTTTTATTTGACCTTGAGCACACACACAATGCCAAGTAACACCGGCATAATATACGTTGCAATGCCGCCCATTGTTTCTGTGTGTGTGTGTGTGTGTGTGTGTGTGTGTGTGTGTGATACATTACAGGAAAATCACCTTAAAATTCTTGTAAATTGATTGTTCAACATTTTGGGAAATACAGTTAATTGCTGTCTTGCTGAGAGTTGGATGAGAAGGTCGGTTCCACTCTCATGTTTGTGCTGTAAATATGAAGCCACAGCCAGCAGCCAGTTAGCTTAGCTTAGCTTAGCTTAAAGACTGGAAATGGAGGGAAACAGCTAGCCTGGCTCTGTCCAAAGCTAACAAAATGACTACTATTACCTCAGTAATGCACACGGTATATCTGATTTGTTCGATTTTTATATTTTTTTTTTTTACTTTAGTAGCGACAAGTAGCAGTGCTAGAGGGGTTTTGCACCACCTTGGCAAGAAATAGTCTGTCAGATTTCAGCTGATGCTAAGCTAAGATCCATTCATCCATCCATCCATCCATCCATCCATTTATATCGGCTTATCCAAGGCCATATCTTTGGGGCAACAGACTGAGCAAAGCACTCCAGACATCCTTCTCCCCAGCAACACTTTTCTTGCTCCTCCTGGGGGACCCCAAAGTATTCCCAGGCCAGATGAGATATGTAGTCCTTCCAGCATGTTCTGGGTCTGCCCCGGGGACCTCCAACCAGTTGGACGTGCCCAGAGCACCTCTAATGGGAGGCGCTCAGGAGGCATCCTGATCAGATGCCTGAACGACCTCAACTGACCCCTTTCAATGCGAAGGAGCAGCGGCTCTACTCCGAGCTCCTTACCCTATCTCTAAGGCTGAGCCCATTCATTCGGTCGCTACCCAGAGCTCATGACCATAAATGAGGGTTGGGACGTAGTTGGATCAGTGAATCAAAAGCTTCACCTTCCAGCTTAGCCCTCTCTTTGCCACGACAGTCTGGTGCAGCGCTTACACCACTGCAGATGCTGCACCGAACCACCGATTAATCTCACGCTTCATTCTACCCTCACTTGTGAACAAGACCCAAGTGTATATTTGAGTACACCAGATTTATTGTTTTGTTTTTGTTTTTACCATGATATCTAATTGGGTATAAGGAGTGGTGGATTTTCTTTGGTATTGGTATCGATCTGTGGTTTTGCAATGAAATCTCTGTCGCTCATCAGCTCTCTGATCAGCGGCTGTTTGGTGAATGACTGTCGATTTGGTGGCAGATAACGAAAGCAGGAAGTTGGTTATAGAAAGCTCTATGTTGTACATTTGTTGTTAAAGGCAATCTCATCTCCTTGTCTGCCTCTCCATTAATTTTCCACACAAAAGACCAGGGACTGACTGTTAATGCCAGTGAAAAAAACTGACAAAGCTAAATTTTGCAGCTCCAGTTGCAACTTTTAAAACTTCTGTTTCCAAGGTCAAGAATGAAGACAGGTCAAACAGTCTTAACAGATTTGTTAGTACTGACTGTTTGACCCTGAGGAAGGGCGGTGTGCAGTCAATACGCACTAATCTAAAATATTTTTAGCTTTTTTTGTGTCAAAATACTGTTTCCAAGGTCAAGAATGAACTTTAACGCTCATCTAATTAAACAGTTTAAACAGTCTGAGCAGATTCGATATTCCTGACTGTTTGACCCTGAGGAAGATCGCTGCATGGTGAATAAGCGCCTGTCTTTTTTTTAGATCATAATTTTAATGAGGCAGTGTGCTTTGATTTTTTGGGTAGATTTATTCCCTTTCTTAAGGACAGGATTTGTGTGCCATCAAGAGAGCCTGTTTTGGGTTACATCGCTGTCAGATGCAAGTGGAGCCTCCTCTCTTGTTCTGTAAACTTTGTGTGTATGACTGCAACAAATTCAGGATTATTGAAAGCTGTGGTGGAAAATGTAGAAAATGTAGGCATCCACAAAAACAAGACTTTAACTCATTAGTTAAATAAACTTAAGGGGATGATATTTGACAGTCTGTACGTCTTGTTGTCTTCCAGGTGTTGTACCTCCAGCAGGCCGAGGTCACCAGGGAGCGGGTGTACGCTATGCACCAGTCCAGCATCGATGGAGTGGAGGACATGTCAGCGCTGGCCGAGCTGCACGAGGCCGCCATCATGCACAACCTGTACCAGCGCTACCAGAAGGATAACATCTATGTAAGTGCATTCAGACAGACACGTGTGTGTGAGAGAGTATATATGTGGTCGGGCGTGTGTGTACATTATGTTCATGTCTTGATGTGCCCACCCTTTTCCTTTTCCAGTAATCTTTGCATGCATGAGGCTTTTAGTGGGAAACACAAATCATCTTATGACACACATCCACTCTGAGTGGAACAGGTAGTGAGATGGAGAGGCTTTTAAAGTGAGAATACTGTGGTACATTAAACCAAAGGTTAAAACAAACATTATTATTCTTTAGATTTTAATCCTGGTTAAATCGGCAACACCAGTGATGACAATTTCACTTTTAATGCACATTTTTGCTGCACAGAAACTTTTTGTTGACGTAAGCCAACTGTTGAGTCAACTCACCTCGCCTGTGTCTACAAATGAATGCACCACAAAGACGACAACCAATGGCAAATGATCATGTATGCTCTGCGTCTGCATGAGAGGAAATAATTCTCCATACCAGATTCATGGTGAATGGGCCGTAAAACAGGTGACAAGGGATGACAATGGTGCAGGACATGCCGCCAAACCTAGGGCGACAAAGACTCACTGACGGCCTGACTGTCAGCTTGGTGTGTCAGAGCCCCTAAAATGACAACAGCAGTGTAAGGTAGTCATGACAGGCCCCAGTGCACACTACTGTGACGGCTTCTTACACATGCTAGTTATTAGTTGTAAGGGGTTGTACACATGCCACGTCTTTAACCATCTGAAAAACGCAAGGTCAGGCGCTGCTACTTTTGTGCCTACTCTGTGCCAACTGTCAAGGGCACAGAGACAGGTTGTGTCTGAGATTGCTAAGCGACCAAAACCAGCACCTTATTGTAGCCTACTTCCAGAGTGCAGAGCCGATCTTTTTCCAGGTGCTCCTTTATATATTAGGCCTAGAATATTGTCTGTGGGACAGATGTAAAGCTCTGGGCAGCCCTGCTCTAACATGATCAACTTCTTCAAAAGCACATGCCCAGTGCACAGCGCTGTCAGTCCCTATAACTTGGTGCAGGTGATGGCAGGAAACATCAGATTGATAGCAAATAAGCAGATACACCACACTTTACTTTGAAATGCTACAAACAACATGGCTTCATTTGGTTTGTTGCTACATGCATTGCACAGGTGCTTTTAACAAGGCTGCAGCTGCACTGAATCCAACAGCAGCAGGGTGATCACGTGCTGAGAAGACTCCATATATGGTTCTGTACACATGTCCACCACCTGAGAACACCTCATATCATGCAAACAAACAGGCACATCGCATTACATACCTGTCCTGCCTTTCTTCTTTCTCAAGCTGGTCTAATTGTCTGTAAACAGAAGAAACATGCATTAAATGAAGTATCAAGAAAGTAGAAAAGCCAAGCATCAACCCAACGATCATAGATGCAATAAATATACAAAAGTAGTCTTAAAATAACTGACTAGATAAAGATATATTGCAAAACAAGAACAGGAACAACCATCAATTCACTTCAGTGGAATCCTAAAGCACAAAATCCTTTCATAAAGAGGAGGAGGGTGGGTAGTGAGGAGGAGTGCCCTGCCTTTTCTTTCCCTCACTCAGGTGCAATCACTTGACGTCAGCATATCAATTATGACAAAAAAGTGCCTAAATCTAGTGTCTCATTTAGGCCATGTGGTTCCATTTAGTTCAAAGTGAAAATCCAATATGCTTCCCTTTATAACAATTTTCAGACCAGGTTTCCTCCCCTTGGATAAGGAAGAATCCTCTCTAGACCAATACGTTTGACAGAAGCAGCAGAGCTATGGTTCCTGTCTCTGTAGTGTCTGGCAATGCGATAGTCCATGTTTCCATTTCTATGATCAACTTCTTCATATTTACCGCAGACTGATATTTGAGGAAGACGGGAAAGAAATCTGTCAGCTGTGATTGGCTCTATCTCATCACATGACATGTGGTGCACGCTGCTGCGTTTCGAAAGTCGAACTCTGTTTATCTCAGGGTGCGATAGGTGCTCGGAAATGTGTGCACACAGTGACAGCGTTACTCTAGCGTTTGAGCTCACCTGCCGTGCATCTACATTGAAAACAATGAATTTTTGGGCGCAAAAATGCAGCATGTGTACGGCCCCCAAGGCACACAAACACACACACACATGCACACTTTTATGTTTGAAATGCACGACTGCTTGTCTGGCTTGCAGATATGCTCAGCTTGTCAGTCTTGACAGATTTTGCTCCTAAAGTAGCTGCCATATTTTGTATCATCTCGTCAAATGATCAAATAGAGACATTGGACTATAGTTTATGTAGGCAGAGCATATCATTTTGCTACAGAATGCTATATAGCAAATGTCAAAGCTTTTACTTTGACTTTAGCTCCTTGAACTCATTTCTGAAGTGTCAATCTGAACCACTCACAAGGGGCCTGTTCCCCCCGACCCCACGGACCCCAGTGCAGCTGCACTGCCCGCACTGTCTGTATTTACACCCCAGGAATAGAAACAGATGCATTAGAACCATGATTCTTGGTTTTTGTACAGTAAATCTGTTGGAGTGTAGCGTCAAACTGCTCTGCTGTCTCTGTCAGAATCCATAATGGACTCAATAGTCACAACAGAGATGAACTGCTGTGGTCATTTGTTTATGTGTATGTGTCTGTAATGAATAGAAGCATTAGCTGATGTTCATAGAACTCCACTACCCATCTTGCCTCTAGGGTTTCATCTCACCCATGACCACTGATGACGTAAAAGACGATAATCTCTAATGTGGCCCAAAGAATGGATATTTAGATCAATTGAAAGAAGCACATTTTGATCACAAGCCTGAAAACCTGGAAGATTACCAGACAGCAGACCAGTACCAGCCGTCCTGGGTGTGACCTAATCTAGATGATGAAATATTGTCCATACACGGATTTCCCTTAAGCTGATCATAAGAATTCACCCTGTGTGGGTCAGCTTTCTGTGTCACTGTGAGTCCATGCGTCACTGTGTATTTGTGTCCTTCAGCACAGATTTTAATGTGTGTAGTACACAGAAGTGCACAGACAGGGTAATATGACACCATGGACGGCGTGCTGACCTCAAGTGTTTTTGTTTCTAGCGCAGAAAGTGAGGTTACTGTTACAGCACAGACAGTTCAGAATGGAAATCTGTTCTCCCCCCTCCATCGTCTCTCAGCTTTCTAATAAAAATCTGATTTGTCACTCCTGCTGTCACATCTCCACCCTGATGTGCTCCCTCACCCTCCCATCCAGATTAATATCAACACAAGGCTTCACATATTTGTGCTGTACATGTCCCTGAGAGCATGTGTCAGTGCTTTTACTGTAAGTGTGTGGGTGCAGGTTTGAAACAGAGCGGAGAAAAATAAAACTGACAACAGGAGAAAAGAAGCAAAGAAACAAAAGATACAAAAGGCTAAAAACATGACACAGAGCCAGAACCTGAAATGTCTCTTCTCTTATGTTTCCAGACCAATATCGGCAGCATCCTGGCAGCCGTCAACCCCTACAAGCAGATCTCAGGTCTGTACAACCCAGAGAGGGTGGACCTGTATTCTAAGCACCATATAGGGGAGCTGCCTCCACACATCTTTGCTGTGGCCAATGAATGCTACCGCTGCATCTGGAAACGCCATGACAGTCAGTGTGTCCTCATCAGGTGAGTACTGTCATGATTAAATGTACTGGTTTACATCTTATTCATGCTTTGTCCATCTGTCAGTCTTTCCCCCAAACCCATGGGCTGATTATGAGACAATGGGCCCCTGGACACAGATATGCAAAAGGCTCCACCACCTCTCCCACTTAGAAGCAAGATAGACTGACTTTGTGGTGATTTTGTGTGTCCTTGTCGTCATTTTGGGTCTTTTTTGTTGATATTTCTCTCTTTTTAGTCCCTTTATGTCTCTTGGAGGTTAGTTTGTGTCTCTCTAAGGTAGTATTGTACTTCTCTGGCAAAATTCTTGTGTCTCTTTGAAGTAATTTGTGCCTTTTCTGGTCAGTTTATGTGTCTAATTTTGTGTCTGTCTGGGGCATTTTTGTCTATTTAAGGGAATTTTTTGGCTCTTTGAGGCAATTTTGTGTCTTTCTTGGTCATTTTATGACTCTAAGGTGATTTTGCACTCTCTTTAAAACAATTTTATGTCTATTTGAGGTTGTTATGTGTCACTTTGAGGTCATTTTGTGTATTTGGTTGGTTTGTGTCACTGAGGTAATTTTGTGTTTAACTGAGGTAATTTTTGTGTCTCTAAGATACTGTAGTGTCTCTGAGGTCATTTTTTTGTGTCTTTTTTGGTCGGTTTGTGTCTCTAAGGTAATTTCATTTTAGTGTGTCTAAAACATTTTTATGTCTATTTGAGGTTATGTGTCACTTTGAGGAAATTTTCTGTGTTTTTTGGTCATTTTGTGTATCCTTGTCCTCATTTTGTGTCTCTTTGAGGTCATTTTTTGTCTATTTTGGTTGGTTTGTGTCTCTGAGGTAATTTTTTTGTCTCTTTAAAACAATTATATGCCTATTGTAGGTCGTTATGTGTTACTTTGAGGTCATTTTGTGTATTATTTGGTTGGTTTGTGTCACTGAGGTAATTTTCTGTCTTATTTGGTCATTTTGTGTCTCCTTGTCCTCTTTTTTGTGTCTCTTTGAGGTAATTCTGTATCTTGTTTTTGGTTGGTTGGTTGGTATGTGTCTGAGTTAATTTTGAGTCTTATTGGGAAAACTTCTGTGTGCCTCATTGAGGTAATTTTGTGCCTCTTTGAAGCAGTTTTGTGTCTTTTTGGTCATTTTATGACTCTAAGGTAATTTTGCACTCTCTTTAAGATAAGATAAGATAAACCTTTATTGTCTGTCACAAGTAACAGAAATTCGTCTTTGGCAAGCTCCGAAATAAAATACACAAGAACACACAAAACACAATAGACATTATACAAGATATATGACAAAGCAGTGTATCTGGGTGGGACTTCAATTGTTGTTTTAAACTGTTCAGGGTGGTGATGGCAGTGGGAACAAAAGTTTTTTTGTATGTGTTCTTCCGGGAAAGTGTGACTTTGTAACGGTGACGTGATGGTAGTAGTTGGAAGGATGGGTGCAGAGGGTGGGTGGGGTCCTGTGTGATGGTGGTGGCTTTCCTGGTAAGTGCCTGGGTGTAACGTTCTGTGAGGGGGGTCTGTGGGGATCCAATTATTATAAAATTATAAAACAATTGTATGTCTATTTGAGGTCGTTATGTGTCACTTTGAGGTCATTTTGTGTATTATTTGGTTGATTTGTGTCACTGAGGTAATTTTTGTGTCTCCTTAAGATAGTTTTGTGTCTCTTTGAGGTCATTTTTGTGTCTTTTTTGGTCAGTTTGTGTCACTGAGGTAATTTTATGTCTTATTGAGGTCATTTTTGTGTCTCTTTAGGAATAATTTTGTGTCTCTTTGAGATAATTTTGTCTTTTTTGGTCGTTTTTTTGTCTCTAAGGTAATTTCATTTTAGTGTCTCTTTAAAACAATTTTATGTCTATTTGACGTTGTTATTCGGTTATTTTGTGTCTCCTTGTCCTTATTTTGTGTCTTGTTGAGGTCATTTTGTGTTTTTTTTTGGTTGGTTTGTGTCTCTGAGGTAATTTTGTGTCTCTTTAAAACAATTATATGTCTGTTGTAGGTCCTAATGTGTCACTTTGAGGTAATTTTCTGACTTGTTTGGTCATTTTGAGTCTTACTGGGAATAATTTGTGTCTCTGAGACAACTTTGTGCCTCTTTGAAGCAATTTTGTGTCTCTTTTGGTCATGTTGTGTCTCCTTGAGGTCATTTTGCATTTAATTTGGGTGATGTTGTGTCTGCTTGAGGTAATTTCTGTGTTTTTGCAGTCATTTGTCTCTTCCTGGTCAGTAGGTGTTAATTTGAGTGACTTTTTGCAGGTGAAAGCCAAGGGGGTGGGGAGGTGGGGGGTTCTTGGGCCTGTGCCCAGTACACTCGTTCAGTAATCCATCCATGCCCCAACCATCAATCCATCCACCTTCTAAATCCTGTATCACAGGAGACTGCAGCCTATCGCAGCATGCATTAGCCAAAAGGGTTTTTCCATTTTTAGAAAATCCAACAATTCCTACCGTCCTACTTACCCACAGTTACACATGCATTTTTTATGTCTCTAAGCGTCAGTCTTATTGTCTTTCTTAAATCGATACCACCATTGTGTCTGTAAACATGAAGCTACAGCCAGGAGACAGCTAGCTTAGCTTAGCCCATTGAGAACCCACTTATTATCCAAACACACCAAAAATATTGTAAAATATTATATAATGGTCAGGGGATCTGGGTGTGTTAACATAAAGACACATTTATTTGGGTTTTTGGTTTTAAACAAACAAGATATAATGTGTTTATTAGTTAGCTTTCAATGTGCTGGTAGGTGGATCTTTTTGCTCATCTGTGCATGGAGCCCATGCAGAGACGGGTAGAAAATGACAATGAAAATCAATGTGAAGGATAAAGGAAGTAGACGAGCATTTCCACGTTTTAGACATATTGATCACAGTGGGTGTTTGGGGGAGAGACTTGAGCCGAGATCAAGCTCCAAGAGTCAGTCCTAAATAACAAGCTATTTAGATCAGATGAAGAAGGAGAAGAGGATGAAATAAAGATCACATCTGCCTTGGTGGTGAATTACCAATTGAAAAAAAAGTTGGTTAACTGCTCCTGGCCTGTTTGGTGTTTCTTTCAATTACAGTCAGACTTTGTCTCTGTTGGTATCTCTATTGATAAAGACTGTGAGCTAATGAAATATCTCTGAAACTATCAAAGCTCTGTATTGATTGAACGAACAGACCAGTTTGAGATATGGGAATGTCAGAGAAGGTCACAGTGTCTTTAATTGAATTGTGTGTGTGTGTGTGTGTGTGTGTGTGTGTGTGTGTGTGTGTGTCCTCCAGTGGTGAATCAGGCGCAGGGAAGACGGAGAGCACCAAACTGTTGCTTCAATTCCTGTCGGTGATGAGCCAGAACTCAGCCGGCACTCCTCCATCGGAGAAAAGTACACGAGTGGAGCAGGCCATCGTACAGAGCAGGTACAGATGAGAAACGTGAAAATGTTTCTTTACATTTACTGCCAGAGATGTTTTTAAATATACTGGGACAAGTCTGAGTCAAAAGAAATTCAAAAGGAGGTCGAAAGCAAGTCTTTAAGCTCTCTGACTGCTGACTCGGGCAACAACTAATGATTATTTTCACTATTGATTTATCTTTTTTGTTCATAAAATAGTACAAAAACTGCCTTTTCTAAGGAGACACCTTCAGATGTTTATGTTCTGCCCATTTATTGTCCCAAAGATATTCAGTTTTCAATAATTTACAGGGATATAACACTGAGAAAAGTAGCTTTATTCATATTACACATTTAATTCCAGGTCAAAGCAAAATGTGCTGCAGAATATGTGAGGTAGAAATTACCGTCACCAGACAAAGCCAGAAACCGACCATAAAAGTGAATCAAATCCATTAAAAGGTAGAATAAAACCTCATGAAATAATAATTAAGATGAAGAGTAAACCAATTAAAGATACAAAGACATGACTCAGAACTGATAAAAAAATGTTGAAATTAAAAAAAAAAAGAAAATATACAAGGGGGCCATTAAAAGAGGATAAATTAAAATTGATAAAAGAACTAAAAACAGTATAGAATAAGATAAATAGACCAATAAAAGATTATAATAAAATAACATTACAGAACAGTAAAAGTAAAAGCAATAAAATAAAATAAAACAAAATAAGACAAAATTAAATTAAATTAATTGAATTGAATTAAATTAAATGAAATTAAATTTTAAAGATATATTAAAAATTAAATGAAATAAAAATAAGATAGAATAGAAATAAAATAAAATAAAATAAAAATGAAATGAAATGAAACAAAATAAAATGAAATAATCGAACCAGACTACTGGAATGCATGGCTAAAAAGAATGTCTTAAACTTAACTTTAAAAGCTGATACTGTTGGGACACTCCTAATGTCATCAGGTAACATGCTCCAGTGGTTTGGAACATAAAAGCTTAAGGCATGTGTTTGGCACATTTGCTTAAATGTTTGGCAATACTTGATAAATTTTCTGTCGATCAACAAATCTACTGGTGGACTCATTTTTGCAGCTTTAAGGCTAACCTTTGATATTCATTTCATATTCAGTGTATTTTGAAATGTAATAAATAAAATGTGAAATGTAATATTAATGTTTTTACCTCACTGGGATCAAGTTAATGCAAAGCTGTAATGATTTCATATTAAAGGTGTGCAGCCATGCAAGGCGGTTTTATCTGTCTTGAGTTAAGTCAATTCTTTAGGGAGCCTATGAACAAATCCAGATAGTTTGTTAGAGCAAATCAGTGTTTGCATTTGGCACAATTGGATGTTTATGATGATTTATGATGATTATGTTAATATGAAGCAGAGCATTGTGGAGAAGAGAAAGTCAGTAGATAAGAGTGTGTCAGTGAAACAATGTTGCTCTCAGAGAAACATATGATGAATGGCCTCTGCAGGACATGGTGGGTGTACTATATTCTACACCGCGTTCACAGATAAGTTACAGACTAAGCAAAATGCACTAACTGCAGGTTTTTACTCTCTGTGCAGTCCCATCATGGAGGCGTTTGGTAATGCAAAGACTGTTTACAACAACAACTCCAGTCGCTTTGGGAAGTTCATCCAGCTTCACTTCTCTGAGGGCGGAAACATCCAGGGAGGCTGCGTCATTGACTGTATCCTTATATCTAAACATTAAATAACAAGATTATATGTATTAAATGTACCAGATTTTGTATTTGCTTTTATTGAGTAATGCTAAAAAAGTACATTTGTTTAGTGTCCACTGTTGCTTCCTTGACTCTCTACCTTTCAGATTTATTGGAAAAGGTATCCACGTCTGCAGCCTGCTCACATCAAGTTAAAATTCATTAGAAATGATTTGTTGGTTCTGCATTGTGACTCATAATTAAATGTTATTGATGGCTTCTCTGCATTGATTTTACTGTAGAACCGAGTGGTGAGACAAAACCCTGGAGAACGAAACTACCACATCTTCTACGCTCTGCTGGCAGGTGCTAGCAAAGAACATAAAAGTAAGGGAAAGCATACAAATGTTCAAATATTGGTTTGATGTATCTGGCATGTATTGAAACAGTGTTCAGAATGCATTTACAACAGACAAATCTGATGATACAAAAAGATCTGTAGCAGCAGATCATGTTACAGTGATCAATTAAAACACACTGCAACTCTTCCAGACATCTGCATGGTATAAGTTCAGTTAAGTGTCTCAATGTGCATCTCATTATATGTTTCCTCTATCAGGCCTCTACTTCCTGGAGGACCCTGCCGAATCTTTCCACTACCTCAGCCAATCAGGATGTCTGAAGGACAAGAGCCTGAATGACAAAGAACTGTATAACAGTGTTATGGTCAGTGTGGCTGCATTTACTCTGTCTTTCCCCATGTCCTTTCTTTGTTAAGTGGATTTGAGTTTTATAAATATTTTGGGGGGGGGGGGAATTTATTAAATTTAAAATGATCCATGTTACTGTAAGTCATATTTGTAATCTGAGCTGACTTTCTAGGTTTACACTGGTCTTTGCACGTTAGTCAAAGGAGTTGAATTTGACATTTTGTTTAGAGTCTGAGCTAAGATTGCCTGCACACGTATCTCAACATCGAGAGGGCTTAGCTGGCCGCTAACAGCCTACGGTGCTAACAGCGTGAATAGTGCTAACAGCGGCATTCAGCTAGCCAGTTGGATACAATACATCAATACATTGATACTTTGGATATCGTACATAGACTATATAAAATATAGATGTAGCTACCATGATGTCACCCATTGGTTTGTGGAATCCTGATTTGGTGCCTCGAGTTTGGCATTTTGGCCATCGCCATCATGGTTTTTTGTAGCCAGAAGCGACCATATTTGGAGGAGAGGGTGGAGCTGTGGAGGATTGGGGGTTGATCTGACTCACAGACTGTAGCAACATCTTACAAACAGCCTGTCACTCAGTCAGCCACACCATTAATTATGTGTTACTTTAAGCCTTAATAAAATAAAAATAGGTGAGTTATATAAAATTCATTCTCCGCACAGTTGTCATGAAGGGGGAAATTAGCTATAGAGACCAAAACCGTTTTTTCACCAAGCTTTAAACATGTTTATTTCTGCTGTCGCATTTTAACATGAGGGTCTATGGGAATTGAGTCGCTTCTGAAGCCAGCCTCAAGTGGCCATTAAAGGAACTGCAGTTTTTGGCACTTTTGCGTTGGCTTAATTTTTTAGCCTGGACGTTGCTGCTTGGTTTGGCTGCACCTCCCTGCAGAATCAAACAGCCGCAGCTCAGAGCAGCCACCGCAGCTTTTCATAGCCATTGCATGGCAGCTCGCTACAGGCTGCACTTCACTGCTGTTTGGTGTGTTTTTGGTATAACAGATATAGACAGCTAATTTCAAATCTTGAGGGGATGTTTGTAGCCTGGAAAGAGCATTACATAAAATATAACTGACAGAGAAGCCCCGTTTCCACCAAGTACTTTCAGTATGGTACCTCTGGAGCCAAAAGTAACCCTTCAGACATGGTACCTAGACCCTAGCGTTTCTACCGCAAACAGTACTCTTAAATGTGGGCGGGGTTGTTGTCACTCACTGCTCCGTCCAGCACCTACTGTATTTCCTCATTACTGGTGACACAGATGGAAGTCTGCATCTCGTTTATCGTCCACAGAACGAGGCTACATGCCGACATTTTCAGAACAAAATAAAACAGGCTGCAGTGAGAGTCTCTCTACATGGGATATTTAAAAATAGCAGGTTTGTGCATTTAGTCCTTCTCAGGCAAGTTCAGGAACGACACTGTACAATGCTTTTTTTTTTTTTTTTTTCACCGAGCGAGGATTAGGATATATGCAGTCACATAACCTGGTTGAAATTAATGTATATAAACGCTTGAAGATCCACTCATTACTAAAAGTGTATGTCATATAAAAACTAAAGTAATGGTCAAAGTTGTCACAGTGAAATTTAAGGCGTGTTGTTGGATTCATGTCGTCAACTCATGCATTGAGTAACATTACAAGTTTACGGAGAGTTTTTCTCTTGTAAACAAACAGCTGAAATTCAAAGGCACCATTTATCAAACCTCTGTGAGTTACTGCATTGATGTAGAATTGGCAACCACACTACATCCCTTTTATCGTCCCAGTCTTTGCGATAAAAATGTGTTAAAAGCACCTCTTCTTTTGGTAGCACCTAATCTTCTTTTGCTGTGTTTTTATCTGTGTGTAGGAGGCGCTGAAGGTGTTGGAGTTCACAGAGGAGGAGATCAGAGACATGTTTAAGCTGCTGTCAGGAGTCTTACAGCTGGGAAACATCGAGTTCATGACTGCAGGCGGAGCCCAGATCACCACCAAGCAAGGTCTGTGCACGGCTAAAGTCAGGCAGGGAAAGTAAAACTTAGAAAGATGCATTGCAGAAGTGTAGCACATCTTTGCTCATCTTTCAGTGGTCACTAATGCCAGTGAGCTGCTGGGCCTGGATGCCTTCCAGCTGTCTGAAGTCCTGACTCAGCGCTCCATAATCCTCAGAGGAGAGGAAATCTGCTCCCCACTCACTATAGAGCAGGTCAGCGCACATACACACATTTCCACACATTAATTCTCCATCTCTTGATCGATCTCTGGCTCTTACCGACACACTCACGCTGCCCCTCGGGTTTCCGTCTCATCCGTACAGGCCGTGGATTCCCGGGACTCTGTTGCTATGGCGTTGTACTCGCAGTGTTTCTCCTGGATCATCCTCAAGATCAATCAGAAGATCAAAGGGAAGGAAAACTTTAAATCCATCGGCATCCTGGACATCTTTGGGTTTGAGAACTTTCAGGTCAGAACTTTGAACTGTTTTGCTCAAAGCTCTTTTCAGACACACACACACCTTCATGCAGATCTGTTTATAAGACGTGTGTTCGCCTCCAGGTGAATCGGTTTGAGCAGTTTAACATCAACTACGCCAACGAGAAACTCCAGGAGTACTTCAACAAGCATATCTTCTCTCTGGAGCAGCTGGAGTACAACAGGTAAACTGCTACATACAGCGGTGCAGTGGTTAGCACTGTCGCCTTACAGCAACCTGCTGGCTGGAGCCCCTCTGTGTTGAGTTTACATGTGCTCCCCGTGTCAGCGTGGGTTTTCTCCAGGTACTCCAGCTTCCTCCCACAGTCCAAAGACATGCAGGTTAATTGGTGACTCTTAAATTGTCCGTAGGCGTGAATGTGAGTGTGAATGGTTGTCTGTCTCTATGTGTCAGCCCTGTGATAGTCTGGTGACCTGTCCAGGGTGTACCCTGCCTCTCACCCAGTGTCATGATTGAATGTATGCACATATCTTTTGACTCATCTCTACCCTGCATTTCAACAAATGTAGAACCAGACAGAGCGGCCAAATTACACCTTGACCTGTCCTATTTGCAGAGGTGTCTTGTTAACTTGTCAGTGAGAGAACAGCTGTTTATTTGATGCTTTGGCCTCAGTGCAGGATTGTTACAAACGTGTACACAGATTGTACACAGGTTGCAAGACATTCCTTCCTGTTGGCTCACTACAACGCTTTGTTGTAGTTGATCCTTGACTCGAACAGTTACAAAGCGGTGTCCCTTAAACAGTCCTCTGTCAAGCTGATAAATGTCTTGTTCCTGCTGTGTATAACTGTTTGGGTTTCCTCTCCACAGGGAAGGTGTCCAGTGGGACGCCATAGACTGGATGGACAACGCAGAGTGTCTCGACCTGATAGAGAAGGTCAGTCAGTTCTTAATCAGAGTTGTGCTGGAGTGAGTTAAAATAAAGACTGTGTTGGACGCCTCAGATGCTCTCTGGTGACTGATCTAATAAAACTGCACTGATGTCTTAGAAAGTGGTGCTAATGCAACATCATAATGGTTTGTTTCCCTCTCGCTTAGAAACTGGGCCTGTTGGCACTTGTGAATGAAGAGAGTCGATTCCCCAAAGGAACTGACTTCACCCTGCTGGAGAAGTTGCACAGCAGACACTCTGTGAGTTATTTACACACACAAAGTGCATGCATTATTAAAGAAAAATGTCGAGCTGCTGTGCTTGTCTTAAACATCACATTGTTTTATTTTTTGTCCTGTTTTCTGCAGACAAACCCGTACTATGTCAAACCCAGACTTGCTGAGTATCAGTTCGGTATCAAACATTATGCCGGGGAGGTGAGTGATGCAAAGCTGAGACACTTGTCAGCATACTGTATTGTTCAGTGAAGTCGGGGAGATTTATGATGAACCTGTGTGTCTTGGTCAGGTCCTGTATGATGTCAGAGGGATCCTGGAGAAGAACAGAGACACCTTCAGAGACGACATCCTAAATATGCTCAAGGACAGCAGGCAAGACTTTCACACACTAAATGAATGGTTTATTGGGACTGTTATAAGTCTTCATTTGAAGTTAATTTTGGTTATTCAAGGAAGAAATACTTGTAGATTTTAGATGAATATTTGATGCAAATACATTCTGTATATTACAATGACTAGTATTAAACTTTCATTGTTGGGTGAAAACTAGAATCCAGAGTCCTTGAAATGTCAATTTTTAAGGGCCTGAAAAGGTATAGAAATGAATTTCTGACTATGTCTGATGGGCTTTGAAAAAAGTGTAAAGAACCAAACAGGTCCCAGGATTACCTAAATTCTCAGACTCATTTAAATTTCTCAACTGCGAGCAATATAATGTGAGTTACCCAGAGAGTTTAGGGAAACAGTTAATACTTTCCTGAAAATGTCTATATATTTCATGAACAAATTATTTATTTGTTATCATCCATGTGACATAAGTTAATCAGATGTGGGTGTGTAATCGATCATGTTTCTGTTGCCTCTCAGACTGGACTTCATCTACGACTTGTTTGAGAAGGTTGGCAGCAGGAACAACGAGGAGAAGATGGGAACGGCCAGACGCAAACCCACCGTCAGCTCCCAGTTCAGGGTGAGTGATGCAAGCAGTTTAAGATTGTTAGGCACCTAACCAACCTATCCTCATACAACGCTTTGTATGATGTGCAACAACTTACGGACTTAACGTAATGTTATGTAGCTTAGATTTCGGCAAGTGAAGTTACATAGGTAGGGTTTAGGAACAGAAACATTGCTACAACGTACTTTAAAAGAACTCAAAGTTCACTTGGTTTTACACGAGACACGAACACCGGTCTCCTGAGGGAAAGTCCTGTATTTGTTTGACCCTTCTGTTGCCTCAACCTGCCTCTGAACACAGACTTTCCCTCTTTATACTTCCTTCCTTACTCCAGTAAGCACATTGGTCACATGATCATGGCCTTCCCAATTTTGTGGGTTATATCAAAGACAATGGATAAACCAAGACGGTCCACTGCGAGTCAGTTTCCTGTATCAGTGTCACGTGGGGTTCGTGACAACCACGGCCCTTTTGGAGACTAACAGCAGGTCCTGAGTCCATTGACTTCAGTGGGAGAAATGAACGTGATTACAGATTATGGCCGATTCTTTAGCCCCATAGTCACGAAAGCAAATATTGGACACATATATCACAAGAAACATATATTAAGAACATTCAAACACCAAAATGGAAAATTTCAGAAGGACAAATCAGGAGAAAATTTACTTTGTTCAAGACCTGTCTCTGTCTCAACAACACATTCTCGCGAGATCTGGCAACAGATATCTCCTCTCTGGTGATGAAATCAGTGCAGTTTCACCAAAGATACTGGAGTAAAAAAATGTTTTTTTCCAGCAGATATCTTAGTTACAACATGATTAAGCTAGCAAAGCAGTTTTGTGTTGCTATGTGTGTTTTTTTTTTTCAGTTTTGGGAAATCACGATGTCTAGAAAGCAGCAGTGGCTGCAGCTGACAGGGACAGCTAACAGCAGCAGCAAAGCTAACAGGACGTCATCTGTTAAAAGCCTCCCGTTGTCGGATATGACATGAAACTACTTCAGTTAGCTCAATCATGTTGTAACTAAGACATCCGCTGGAAGAAATTTTTTTTCACGGACCGTTTATTCATTTATTTAGCTTACGGCCAGTAAGGGTACACACATGTTGACAGAAGCGAGGTTGGGGATACTTGTCTTTGATTGGCGGTTCTCCATCATCTTTGAGTGGGGTACGGGGGACAACGCCCACTTAGGAGACCGGAAATGTATACCATTTCATACAATGGGAGTATATTGTAGGTGGGCAATCTTGTAGTAATCCAGTATCTTTGGTTATATATGAGCTACTGACTCATGTTTTTGTGGCTTAAATACAAAGTCTGGTGCAATACTTGTCGTAGGTATAGTGCATGTGAACAGCCTGACACAACATAAAAACCAACTCATAATGAAGGATGGATGTAAAGGTCAGCACCACAGGGAGCTGAGAGAATAGTTATTCTTAGTCATAGAAATGGCAGGAACTAGTGAGCATGCCCATCAGAGCCCGAGATGACTTCCTCAAATGTTCTGTTTTGTCCTACACAGTCCAAAACCCAAAGATATTTCAATCAGGTGAGACTCGTTCTGAGAGAAAATAATTTTTGTTTACATGTGCACATAAGTGTGAATAATGTGAAGAGTCTTTGGCGATTAGACCCCATTGATTGATGACCCCAGTGATGTCATCTATTCCAGGAGGGTGGTAAAGTTGTTGTAGATTAGAAAACTCCCCCTATGGAGTCAATTAGTCTTTCTGTCACTCAACTACTAGATTAATCAACTAGTTGATTCAGCCCTATACTGAGATGTAAGTGCACAACACACTATTTGTTGTCCTCTCTTTTTTATTTAAAGACCGTTGAAGGACTTACTACTGTAATTTTGTTCACTGCCATACAACATCATTTCTTTCTTTCTCCTCAGGACTCCCTCCACTCTCTCATGGCCACTCTGAGCGTATCCAACCCTTTCTTCATCCGCTGCATTAAGCCCAACATGGAAAAGGTCAGTCTCTGTCTGGCTCACACCTCTTATCAGTCCTTAAATTCACATTAATGCTGTCTCAGAGCCTGATTGACAATCACGTCATCAGTTCAATGTCGAATAATCTTTCTTATTTTACTTGTAGAATGCAAATGTGTTTGACCCAGAGGTCGTCCTCAACCAGCTGAGGTATTCTGGGATGTTGGAGACTGTGAAGATCCGTCGTGCTGGGTTCCCCGTCCGCAGAACCTTCAAAGATTTCTTCTCTCGGTAAGTATCTCTGAATCTACCTTTATCTTATCTTTAATCTGGTGTGTGTTTGTGGGAGTGTCTCTGAAGTGTTGCCCTTTTTGCTGAGATCTCTGTTTTGTTTGTTTCTCACAATTTGTCCTTTTTCTTTCTGTCTGCCAGGTACAAAATCATTGTGAAAGAGAAATCAGCAGCAGTCGCAGCAGCAGCTGCAGCAGGAGATGATAAGAAGAGAAGTACAGATCTTCTAACCAAATATGACAAGACCAAGAAAGAGTGGCAGTTGGGAAAGACCAAGGTAAGATACAGAAGTTTAAGCAACAATATTTTCAGACCCTAGAAAGCTTAAACCACCACAGTGAGCAACAATACATGATTAATCTGTCATTTAATCGGTTTTCTGCATTAGATATCTTCTCTGTAACCCCTCACCTTTGTCTTGCAGGTGTTTATGAAAGAGTCTCTGGAGCACCGTTTGGAGAAAGACAGGGATGAAGTCCGACGCCAAGCTGCCATGATAATCCGAGCCCACCTCCTCACTTTCTCTGCCAAGTAAGAGCCTTTAATAGGAACTGAGATTGATTTTAATATGTGCCACTTCTCACTGGGTTTCCATTTTGTCCACAGGAAGCACTTCAAGCGTGTACGCGCCAGTGTCGTCACCCTCCAGAAACACCTCAGAAAGCACATCCAGCGCAAGCGGTTTGTGAAGCAACGTAAGGCAGCGCTGGTGCTGCAGAAGCACAGGCGAGGTCAGGTGGCGCGTACTCGAGTCCGAAAGCTCAGAGAGGAGAAGAAGAAGAAGGAGGAGGAAAAGAGGAAGAAGGAGGAGGAGGAGAGGAAGATGAAGGGCGAAGGGGAGCAGGAGAAAGTCAGTGAAGGCGCAGAGAAAAAGGCTGAAAGTGATGCTGCCACAGTGCGTCTTCTCTTGATGTTGCATCTTATTCTCCTCCTGTTGATTTACAAAATAATGCACATATTGATATGCTCCGTCTCTTCTCTCCTCTCATCTAGGATGAGGCCCGACAGATGGAGGAGATCCTGCAGCTGGAGCGAGAGATTGAGCGCTTGCAAAAGAAGAGAGAGGACGAGGTGTCGCAGCTGTGCGAGTCCTCCAAACAGGAGTTGCAGCTGCGCCGGGACGCTGAGCTCAAACGGATGAAGAAGGAGGCGTCCCGCAAGGCCACAGAGCTCATTGACCTCCTGAACTTCGGAGGTGTGGATCCATCGCTGGGAGCAGTCGCGGCCAAACCGGCCGCAGAGACAAAAGCTCCAAAAGCCGCCGCCAGAGGTGCGTCCAAAGAAGAGGAGGTGGACGAAGGATTTCATGCTGAGGAGGAGTGCATCCCTCTCCCGGACTTCCCTCCTCCTGCTGAGACTGATGCGATTGATCAGGAAATATTTGCTCACCTTCCTCCTCCTCCGCCTGCCTTTGCAGAGGGGACAGTGCCTCCTGCACCACCTCCTCCACCTCCTCCACCTCCTCTCCCCGCAGATGGTGTGCCTGCTGCTGGAATTCCTCCCCCTCCTCCTCTCCCTCCACCTGGAGATGGCGCCCCTGTCCCTCCACCACCTCCTCCTCCACCACCACCACCACCACCACCTCCTCCAGGAGAGGGGGAGAAGAAAGATGGAGCCAAGGCAGACCAGGAGAGGAAGGTGAGCATGGTGGAGAGCCTGGGGGACGGGGAGGAGCCCATCTACAGCATGCCAGCCGACACCGAGTCAGATTACGATCAGGAGGATGAGGAGGGGTCCGTCAACGCCGGAGACGACAGCTCCGTATCGGGGAGTAACCGCGGGAGCGCCGCTGTGACAGATGACGAGCACCCGAGGAAGTCGACCTGCACCAACGCCAGCATTGAGTCCTACAGAGGCAGCTCTGACTCTGTGAGGACACACACTCACACGCATCCTCACACGCGTGCACGCAGATATGTATGAGCAGCTACACAGTGAAAATTTAAAAAATCTGATGATGTCATCAGATGAATTGTTGTGCTTTTTGTTTACATACACAAAATTAATTATTATTGTATGACGTTGCAGTATGCAGACAGTGATGATGAACACGATGGCATGATGGACACTGATGAAGAAGTGACAAACGGCAGGGTGACCTTGCTCAATGGGAACGGACCGCCATATTTCCACGGCTACCTCTACATGAAGGGTGGGTACAGTGTACTGTCTGTGTGTGTAATAGGAATGCCAATTTGGCCGATAGCCGAAACCAGTGTTGTTTTTTTTTGTTATTTTGTTTCTGTTGTCATTTATTGCACCTTTTGTGCCAGAGAAACAAAGAAATCTTCATTATACAAAAATAACTGAACTGTTTCAAAGTCATTCAGCCCCTCATTACACTATTTTTGAATGCGCACAAATTCCATCACACATTTATGAAACACCCTTAAATAAAACCAGAGACCATTCATGTTACGAACTCAAGGAAACCCCAAGCACGGGACCCAGGATGGAGATGATAAAAAGGTTTATTGTCCCAAGATATTAGAATGGTCGTGATCCAGGGTTCGTGGGAGTGGAGGAGGCTGAGAGGAAGCTGGCATGGGCTGCAGGTAAAACTGGATGGCAGGAGAGGGAAGATTGTGAACACACAAGGTTCACAACACTCCAAAATGAGGTGGGGGTTGCGGGCAAGAGACGACAGCGCGTGCTAAGGAGACCAGAAATGTAAACTACAAATAACAAACCTTCCTTCATGTGAAAAACATCTTTTAAAATAACTGCCTCAACATATATAATACATCATAATGTTGTGGCAGTTCAACTTGGGACCCAAATGCAAACACAACAAGGTAACTTAACGGTCAGAGGCAGTTTATTGTTGTTTGAGGATGTGGAGCTGAAGGCTCAAGAAATGATGGCTGAGGTGAGCTGGTAATGGTGAAGCAGAGCAGGCAGAGGAGCTGTAGACAGAGCAGTCCGAATCTGGAGACACAAGACGAGAATGAGACTGGACGTGGCGGGTTATGGTTGAAGCAGGCGTGGTGAATCTGAGATACAGAACAAAATGTGAATTGAAGTACAAAAAAACTTGCCTGTACAGTAGAGAAGACTGAAGGATCAGGATCAGTCTGGATGTCTGAGTTTTATACTGCAGTGGATTGATTGTTGATGAGGTTCAAGTGTGCAGGTTCGGCAGCTGCTGGCACTCAGGATGATTGGCAGGAGGAGGAGGCTACTGAAAACAAATATGAGACACTAGGGAGGGGAAACCCTGACACTTAATTCCCTCTCTTACACGTGTTTTATATTAATGTGAAAACATCAACAAATTTCTCCTTCCAACAACTGTATTTATGTTTCTCGCCAAAAATGATACAAGATTACACTGAACGCATCATGGTGATGTCTAACTTTACCTTCGCCTAATACTAATTTTTACTGAATAGAGCGTGAACGCATCGTAATCTAAGTCAGTGCAACCTCTGTTAGCTGTCAGTTGAGGCCACCGGCTGCTAACAGCTAACGGTTATTAGCTCTGTCTTCATGGATCTGTTGCTCACAATAAAGCATCTGTTCCACATTTTGTGCCAGGAACAAAAGAAGGTGCGAGTTTACTGTGTCCTTTTGTCCCAAAGGCATCCAAGGGACGGTCTCTGTTCATCTCAAAAAATGTTTTGCTGTTCCCAGGATGTCATTAGTCTCAAGTCCAGCTTTTTAGCCTGTGCAGAACTGATGTGCCACAGCATCCCGAGCTTTTTAACTTTTTTTCTGTGTCATTTTCAAGTGAAAGTCTCTCCACCCTTTAAATGTTATTTTCATGACTGTCATTTGACCCTCTGCTCCCTCAGCTGGTCTGATGATCCCATGGAGGAGGCGCTGGTGTGTGCTGAAGGATGAAACCTTCATGTGGTTCCGCTCCAAACAGGAGTCCCTCAAGTCCGGCTGGCTCTACAAGAAGGGAGGAGGCCTGTCCACTCTCTCACGGAGGTTGTTGTAGTTGTTACTGAGTGCAGCCTGCATGCTTTAAACCACAACGCCTGTTGAATGAGCCATCCAGTACAAATTTCATATGAACGAGCAGTGTGTGCATGACCATCTGTGTTGCATTAACAAGTCCCTGTGTCCTGTTGAGGTGTTGAGATCATATGTATGTCTAACCCAATCCTTTGAGCCCTCTGCAGTGCTGGAAAACGTCAGTGTCCTACTCGAGCTGGTGTACTGTGTCTTTACTGAGAATCTGCTTTCCAAGTCCAAGTTAATAATCTGCTTCAAAATTAGCAAAAGGCTGAAAATCTGAAATATGAGACAACTATCAGCAGCAGAACATAGTTTAAGTTTGGCGTCTAGACTCCGGCCTCATCGCTCCCTGTCGATATGTTTACATGAGATATTGGCAGGTTGCCTTAGCCGGAGCCTGCAGGTGGATGCTGGGGTGGAAGTGGGGCTGAAAGAGCGAGCAGCAGTACTGATGTAGGGCAGCAGCGGCGTTGACAAGGCAAAAGGAGAGCGGGGAAGATTTTGCAGCTGAAATAGACCTCCAAATTGGGAGGGTGTGTTTGTAGAGGACATATGGAGAGTGATGTATGATGTGTGTGTGAATCAGTGCAGCTCAGGTTGACTGCCTGAACTGGCTTGCAGACGTCGCTCCATTTATTTATCGCACAAAAGGACTGTTTGGTGCTTGGTTTAATTATTCTAACAACTTACACGTCACACACAGGTCCAAATATTCACATGAAAAGACAGAAAATATATTTAAATACATAAATTCAGTCTAACATACAAAACTGTTGTATGTAGTATGCTTAAAATTAAAAAATGACTCAGGAAGCTATAACGACAACATGGCATGATGTTGATCCTCCAGGAAAAGAGCAATGGTTTAATATAATTGAGGAAATGTATTCAGTTGGAAAACTGACTGATGTTTTGAGGGTTAGTAAAAATGGATAATTTACATGAAACCAAATGCTGCATAAGTTAATTTAAATATGGGATAATTGAGTGTGTGTACGTGCGACTACCCCATAAATACTTTCTGTTCTGTCTTGTGTTTGTGCAACATGTTGTTTTAATAAGTAAATGCGTATTAGTAGAAGGAAAAAACATGATTATCACTCAGTTATTTCCATAAAGGGTCCTGAACGTTATCTATCTGAATGTTTGATATTTTATTTTGGAAACAAAGTAACGAGATTACTATAAAATCAAAAAGATAATTCAGAAACCTAAAGTACATGAAGAAGCTTTAAAATGCACTAACATAGATTTTGTGTAAAGTTACTTCCACTCTTGTGAGCATGTTCAATAAGTCAGATGTATTCTGTGTAAAGAAGTTAACTCATAGGTCATTCATAGGGTCACATAAACCTTTATAATGTGTAGAATGGATCATCTTGGCCTTTGGTTTATTGTCTCTGTTTTTCGTCAGAAACTGGAAGATGCGCTGGTTTGTCCTGAGAGACAGCAAACTGATGTACTACGAGAATGACAGCGAGGAGAAGCTGAAGGGAACCATCGACATCCGAGCTGCCAAGTAAGATTTCCACAAAGCTCCAGTGCCAAAATAACCACACAAACACCACCCTTTATTCACCAGGGTTCCCACAAATCTAACATTGGTATTATTATTATTATATTATTATTTCAAAGGTCTTAGAAGACATGGGAAGTAGGATATTATTTATCATGTTGTAAAATCTCAAAATAAGACTGTAGCTAAAAAAAGAACGCCATTTCCCAGTCCTGTTCTACCCTCATCTCCACCATGACACAAAAAGCATCCTGTTATAAGTTACAGAATCAGAATCAGATCCTCACACTAATACCAAATAAGTGTAATAGGTAAAAAAAAAAAAAAACTACACACACAGTATGACTGTGTATGTTGCACATATGGTGTGGTCAAACTGGAGAGTAGAGAGCCGCCGCACAAACACATGCCGCCATCTTGCCACTGACATTTGAGTATAATTTGCCCATATACAAACTGTTAACTCATTATTTTTCCCCCTCATTTTTGATTACTGTAAAATTGGTCTTAAATTTCATTTCGAGTGGAATTTAAAAGTCTCAAAAAGTCTGTAGGAATGATTCACTGTTTCTTTGTTTTCTAGACAACGTTTGCATGTTTGTGTTTTCACAGGGAGATAGTGAACAATCATGAAAAGGAGAACGCTCTGAACATTGTGACAGATGAGAGGACCTATCAGGTGTTTGCTGAGTCACCAGAGGATGCAAGGTGTGTTGGAGACTTGAGTGATTTTGTAGATGACGGCAACAAGTTACTGAGCAGATTCATGTGTTCAGACTTGTGATGACACCTCTGTCTCTCTGTGCAGTGGGTGGTTTAACGTGCTCAGTAAGGTGCGTGTGTGCACTCCTGAGCAGCTGCTGGAGATGTCTCATGAACAGGCCAACCCAAAGAACGCTGTGGTCAGTCTCTGAAAACAACAACTTTTTATGTGTTGAAGTTATTACTCTTTGTGGCTTTTAATACAAGATTTTTTCATGCCCTAATTTTAAAAATGTCTCCCTAAAGTTATATTTACTCTGTGCTGTGTTTGTAATTGCCAACATGTCACTGGACACCATTAGTTCATTATTTAAATTGTTCTCCTCCTTCCGTCCCTCAGGGAACTCTTGACGTGGGCCTGATCGACTCTGTCTGTGCTTCAGACAACCCCGATCGGTAAGTTAGATCAATCACAACAGTAAACGAAAAGCTTATTCACTTTTCATGTCGAGGATCATTTAGTTCTTTCTTCAGGTTTTTCAAACTGGTGACATTTTACAAAAGAAAATAATAAGCTTTGATTTTGGTGTCAGTTCCTCCAAATTGTCATGTATCAGACAAAAGGAAGGAGGTCAAAAACTGAAGTATTAAATGTTACAGACAAAACAAGTTCATGATATGTGTACAATCAGTAACTTCAGAGGTGTGTGTCAGTGCCAGGGTGAGTGGTACATGGTGTATGAAGATGTTGCTTGTGAAAAGAAAAGACAGAACACATCAACCAAACAAAAGGACTGTGTGGGAGTTGAGAGAGCTTCCAGAAAGTGAGACAGGCTGAATGATCAGCTTTGTAGGCTTGCTGGCTCATCAGCTCAGGTGAACCAGCTCCCTAACGACCTGCACTGCCAGCCCACCACCTGTAAGGGAAGGAGAAAGCACATGCAGAGGCACATTCAATCTCAAAGCGATGTGCACTGTTTTGCTTCAGTTTCCTGGGTGAATGGCATGTTTCATCAAATCAGTGTGAAACAGTGTTCACCGGGCTTTGCAGTGCGTTTTCTCGTGTTTGCTGGGTGTATCAAACCTTTTCAGAAGCGACGTGTATATAAACCAAATTCTGGTATATCTTTACATATTGTACATACAATATTTGTTTTCATTTCACATTTGCTTTGACAATGTAAACATGTTTTCCATACCATAAATCTCCTTTGAATTGAAATAATATAACCCCCGCGTATTAAAAGGCAGTGCACCCTTGAAATACAACAGAGTGTTCAATGCACCACCATTTCTGTTTAAATAAACAATCTGCTAAATTTTGTTGGGGCTGAAGGCAGCCCCGGTCAGACAGAGCAGAGACACAGAAGGGGTCGTCACAAAAAAGAGGGAAAGGCCATTTATAAACATTTTTGCTGATTCCTGATGTCCTCAAAGCATACATGGAAAAGAGTGCAGTATCAATAGACCATGAAGCTATGCAACTATAGCTTGCATTTCAAAATAAAACATTTTAAAAAACTGAATTTGAACACATGATACACACCTGTCTTCTCGTAGTTTCTCTTATCTTAAAAATCCCCAGAAAAAACCCAAATGCCATCACTATCCATCTTTTTTATACAGCCTTTAAGCATCCTCAATGGGTAATTTCAGTATAATATTTAACCTGAACCCTATTTCACCATGACTTTGTGTCTCAGTGACTAATGGGAACAATGGTTTATGAAACTGGTGAGAGTGCTGCAGCTGACAGCTGTAAAACAATATTGCAATGTAACCACTTGGCATGTTTGTACCGTCAGTGTATGTCTACCGAAAGTGTTTGTTTTTGCCACCGACAGACTCAGATTTTTATTGTAAATGTCTGGCAACTTATGGAAAGGGTTCCTACAGAGATAAACCTTTTTGTTAAGGAGTAAGATCCTCTTTGATACACCAAGTTGATGATTTTTTTTTCCTGTTTTCTTTTAAAACCTGTTGATTTTGTGACTCGTCTGTGTTATTTTGCCGCCTTGTGAAGCACTTTGTAACGCTGTTTTGGAAAGTGCTTCATGAGTAAAGATTTTTATTTTGTTTTATTTATTCATTTGTTAAACCAGAAACAGCCCTAAAATTGCTTTTACCAAACTCACTAGACTCATTTAATTAAACAGTAATTTTATCATGTATAGAGCCAGTATATTTATATTTTTATATAGTTTATTTCAACCAAACCCGAGTTGTAATTGTTGGAACAGTGGAAAGTCAAACCAAGATGGGTTTTGAGTGTTTTATTTTGTTTCTGTCAACACTGAATAAAGTATGTTTTACAAGCCTGCGAGAGCAATTAGGCCTGTTTCTGGTTAAACAAAAAAGGATCTCCCTCTTAAACAACAGGTCTTTCTCTGTAGGGATCCTTTCCATAATGTTGTCAGACACTTAGACTCCCAGAATAACAGTCTGAGTCTGTCAGTGGTAAAACACATTTGGTGGACGTAAATTGATGGTGTACAAGTGCCCTAAGTGGTTACATTGCAGGCTGTTTCACATCTGCCAGCTGCAGCGCTCTCACCAATACTCTCTCTACTGTTCACATTTGTCACTTGGAAACAAAACATGGGGTGATACCCTTTAATTTTAAAAGTCTGTGATTTGACCTTTGCAGGCCCAACTCTTTCGTCATCATTACGGCCAACCGTGTGATCCACTGCAACAGTGACACACCGGAGGAGATGCATCACTGGATCAGTCTGCTGCAGAAACCCAAAGGAGACGCCAGGATAGACGGGCAGGAGTTCCTCGTCAGAGGTGAGAAGGAATATGTATTTATTATAAGCCATGTAACACGAGGTCAGGTATTTATGGTGATAATTGGTGTTTTGAATCATGTGTCGGGGGCTTGGAAGTCTTTTTACAGTATATAAAGTACAGTATTTAAGACCCTATGTTGTGACAGATTTTAGCTGATGATATCTCAATATGAGCTTTTGTCACAATACAAATAGACTTAGGGATAAACAATGATACTGAATAATTGCACAACCCTGCTGTTCCTGTACAAATGTATTAAATCTCTCCTCCTCTTCCCTCCCCTCTCTCCTCCTGCCTCATCATCTTTCAGGCTGGCTGCAAAAAGAGATGAAGACGAATGCTAAGAGCACCTCCCTGAAGCTGAAGAAGCGCTGGTTTGTTTTGACCCACAACTCCCTGGATTACTACAAGAGCTCAGAGCGGAACTCCTCCAAGATGGGAACTCTGGTCCTTAACTCCCTCTGCTCCGTCATTCAGCCAGATGAACGAGTGCACAGGGAGACAGGTGCGGAGAGAGGAGTGAAGGGAAAAGGCAGAAAGGGCAGGTTTAATCTAGGATTAGACGCAGGAGGTTTGAGACTACGTGTAAAGAGATAATTCTAGTTTGACATGTGAGTGGTAATATATTACGCTGCTTTTTTACAGGCTACTGGAACATCATTGTGTACGGGAGGAAGCATTCCTACCGCCTCTACACCAAGATGCTGAACGAAGCCATGAGGTGGACGGCAGCCATACAGGGAGTCATTGACAGCAAGACCCCGATAGAGACCCCGACTCTGCAGCTCATCAGAGACATCAAGGTAAAATACACACACACACCTATTAAGTAAAATGCATAAGCACTTACTCATACGTTGAATTTGACCTCTAACCTTTGACTTCTTTGTGTCCTCTCAGGAAAACAGCGTGAACCCAGACATCGTGGAGCAGATGTACAGGAGGAACCCCATCCTCAGATACACTCAACATCCTCTGCACTCCCCTCTACTGCCGCTCCCTTACGGAGAGGTCACCAGCGGTGAGTACAGCTCTCCCCTCTTCTCATTTCTGGGTTCGTACATCCTCGATTTCTTTCCTTGTCTCCTCTACTTGCGTCTTAGTTCCTCCCATCTGAGATGGAAGCAGGCAGGGAAGAGACACAAGGAGAGAGGAGTCAAGGCAACAGGCATTTAACAAAATCTGTGTTTCAGAGCCATCATTTTAAAGCGGCATGAGTTAAATATGACATGTGGCACATCTGCATCATCTGTCCACTGTTATCGAACATTATAACATACTGCTGTATTTCTTTTAACTGTTAGGTCTGAAGGACATAACAGTGTTCATGACAACTTATATATTTACTTTCAATTAAGTTAAATTTAAGTGTGCATACTCCAGCTGTGTGTCAGGCCTCTTTTATAAGTCACAGCTGCCAAAAGACTTCTGCAAAGGATACACCTGTGCGTCCTCGCTCATAGCTCCTCCGGCAAGCCTCCTCTCTCCTCAAGATGATTTAAGGAATTAAGAAATCCTTCACAATGGCACACTGAGATTGATTTGCGGATCACAGGCAAGAGGAGAGAGGAGAGAGGAGATGAGGAGCAAGGAGGCACAAAATAGAGAAATGAGAAGAGCCCCCTTACTCAGCAACCTAAAACCAGGCCCCTGGGGAGCGCACCAGACTTTGAAGCCAGATTTTGTAGTAGCCAAAAAGTTTAATAACAATTTCGGAGCCTGTCACGTGACTGTGTGGCCCAAAAAGGCTTTTTACCATAGACTTACATGGCGAAAGAGATGTCTATAAATTAGTGAATCAATTTTTCTGAGCATCATTACCCCCTGAAAAATGACATCAATGCCTAAGACCCTAAAAACAACTTCTTTTCTTTTCTTTCTTGTCCTCTTCTACTTCGACAAGTTGCAGCATTAAAAGCTTCCATACGTTACTGACCTCTGCAGGTTAAAACCAAACTTTTCACTTGTCTCTTTGTGCTCATAAAATGAAATAACAGTTTGCAGACTTCCACAAATATTAGTTTTAGCATTATGTCCTATTTAGTTTTGAATTACTCCAAACTCCTGAATCATCACAGTAATCCTTTGATGTATTTTTTTGCTGTAATTGCTGTCATCTTTGGTTTTATGGAAAAGTTACAAGTTGTTTTTTCTTCTTCGCTGCCTTTGTTCACTATTTTCTTTTTGTCTCTGTGTGTGTGCAGTACAAAGGCAGCAGGGCTACGCCAGTCTGCAGGACGAGGCGGTGCGAGTTTTCAACTCACTGCAGGAGATGGAGACGCTGGCGGACACGGTGCCCATCATTCAGGGCATCCTGCAGACCTGCCAGGACCTGCGCCCACTCAGGGATGAGGTATTTCGTTTGTCGAGAAAAGTCTACTTTACTTTCTTCTCTAATCTCAACTGAAAACAGCTGGAAACAGAGCTGAAATGTAAAAGAGAAACACAGCGGTGTGCAGCGTGAGCCCCATGAAAAGTTGTTAGAATAAAAATAGAAACAACAGGAAATAGGAGATTCCAGTAAGACATGCTGGATGACAAATACATCTACTAAAACTGACTTTGTAGTTATGATATTATAAGTATTACAAGTATTCCTGGGATGTTTATTTGCTGTCAAACGTTGAAAACTTTCTCAAATTTGCTCTCCATATTTCTGTTTTTCAGGTATACTGTCAGGTGATCAAGCAGACCAATCATGTGCCTCAGCCGAACAGCCCAGCCAATTGTGCACACTGGCACCTGCTCACCTGCATGAGCTGCACCTTCCTACCCAGTCGAGCCATTCTCAGATACCTCCGCTTCCACCTCAAGAGGTGTGTGTGTGCTTTTTTGAATATGTCATTAATGCAATCAATTTGTGATAAAAGTATAATTAATGTGTAATAAATGTGATCTTGCTCAGGGTGCGAGAGCGCTATCCCGGCACAGAGATCGAGCGTTACAGCACTTTCATCGGGGAATCCCTGAAGAAGACCAAGACTCGTGAGTTCGTTCCCTCTCAGGAGGAGATCGCCGCCCTGCTGGTGAGACAGGAGATGAGCACCACCGTCTACTGCCACGGAGGAGGCTCCTGCAAGATCTCCATCAATTCACACACCACAGCTGGAGAGGTGCGTGTCAAAATACACACTCACACACTGACACATCCTCTGCTCAGTCATACAAATATAATTTTAAGACCCAGTGCAAGATTCAAGGGTTGATTTCAAGGGTGTAGGTGTCATTAAACATTGGGGAGTACACATCGCAAGTAGGGGGTCTTTGGGTCCTCCCTCAGGAAATTTTGAGCATCAGATACTTAATTTTCTGCATTCTGGTGATATTGTAGGCACTAATTTGTGCCCTCTCTGCATTAGTTTATGGAAATGTCTTTATATATGTAAAAGAATACACAAAATTTAGGTGGCGGGTGACCCATCTTGTAATGGGATCACACCAGCCGTGACACCTATCCCCGCCAGGGGTGTTATCGTAGCATATTATGTATGCTGAATATTATCAACCAAATTCTGCACCCTTGGTTGAATTGCAGTGTGCTGTTACAAACTGCTCACTGTTTGTATGTTGCTGCTGCAGGTTGTGGAGAAGCTGATCAGAGGTTTGGCCATGGAGGAGAGCAAGAACCTGTTTTCTCTGTTTGAGCACAACTCCTTCACAGACCGAGCTCTGGAGAGCAGAGTGATCGTTGCTGATGTTCTGGCCAAGTTTGAGAGGTACCTCAGTTTCTGTGTATACAGCTGGCCTTGATTGTCATCTAGTCAAAATACTGATCTCTCACTGGCTGATTTTGCTGCATGATGGGATTGTTTTGATGTATGTGGTTGCTTAACCTGCGTCTGCTGTGTTTTTTCAGGTTGGCAGGCAGTGAAGAAGAGGAGGAGGAAGGAGAATGGAAACTCTACTTCAAGCTCTACTGCTTCTTGGATGTGGAGAGTATGCCGAAAGAAGGAGTGGAGTTTGCCTTCATGTTTGAGCAGGTGAGCTTTACACAACTTCATCACACTGTCTGGAAAGAAAGAAGGCAGTCATCACTCACTCATTACTTTCTCCCAATTTAATTAGATTCATTACTTTTTCCTGAACATTATTAGCACTGCTGAATACTTGAATGAATTAAAAAAAACCCATACAGGTCTCTATCAGTCTGGATTGACATAAATATTATAAATCAGCATATTACCTATAAATATGTCACCCCAACACTGCTGCAAAATAAACTGTTCTCACTGTCCCTCTCCCTCTCAGGCCCATGAGTCTTTGATAAGTGGTCACTTCCCGGCCTCAGAGGAGACCTTGCAGCACCTGGCTGCTTTACGTCTCCAGTATCTCCATGGCGACGGGGCAGGTCGGGCCGGTTGGAGCTTGGGAAGCGTATATCCAATCGGGCGTCTCCGCAATCGCATCCTCCACTCTACCAAGCCGGGCGTGGGGGCGGCAGGTGGAGCTGGAGGAGCTGGAGTCGGAGCAGGAGACGGGAAAGGAATGGTAGGAGGACAGGGAGGTGTCGGGGTCGGCACGGAGAAACGGAAGACCCCGAGCTTCCTGGATGGCACCCTGAGGAGAAGCTTCAAGACTGGGTCACTGAAGAAGCAGAAGGTCAGTGGTGAAAATGAAGTTGTACCTCACCGTACCTTTTACAAGTAGAAGGAGATGAATTGAATGGAATGAATGGACAGCTGCATGTAACTTAAGAAAAATAGATAAAACTGTTGAAATGTTCTGTAAAATTATTCAGAGCTTTAATATGGCAGCAAACCAATATTGGCTATTTAAAGATAGAGTTATGTAAATTTAGTCAGGCTGTGTATCTCACTGGCTAGCTCACCACCACTGCTTTGCACTGCACACATATGGCATTCACCACTGAGATCAGGATGGTGTTATTGTGGAAGCGTAGCACCCATCCTCCAGTTCTCCGTGGTTAACACTGTTAGCTCTGTCTATGTTTATGGAGTTAGCACCATTAGCTGCCAGCCACCTCCATGTTGAGAACTGTGTGCAGACAACTCATACACATAGAGCCCATTTAAACTGCAAAGCATGCATTCAATAAAGGTCAGAAAAATGTTATGTATTAATAATTTCTAGTTAAAGAGATAAAACTTAAAAAGACACAGGTATGGTCATTAAAAAAACGCACAATGTCAACATGTGAAAAACAACTAAATTCACATTTGGGTGAGTTCATGTGTGATGGGTACATGATTGGCTTGATTTTAGCCACGGTTTTGTGTTAAAGTTAAACCCAACAAAGCTTTTGCATTGTTTTATCTCACTTGGTACTAAGTTCCAATAGTTTGTAGCTCTATCAGAGAAGACTGATCTACCAAACTCAGTAGATCTGTGCTGTATTGCACAGTCACCTCTGTTGGTCGTCCTTCATGTCCTCCCATTGTCTGAGCACAGTTGCATGAACTCATTTAATGGAGGGCCAACCAGTTCATTAATCACTTTGTACACTAGACTAGCATCAGCAAGACACACAAAGCTGTCAAAGGTCAATAGATTATGCCTTTGAATTATGTTTCAGTGGTGATAACATTTGAGTGTTTGTTTGTAAAGTGCTTGCAGCGGGGCAAGTGTTGTTTTTCCAAGACTGTGACCAGCAATGATGCATTACCAATTTCACTAGTATTTATTTTTGTGGTTTTATATTAGATAAAGGTTGTTCACATGACACTATTTAAGTCCGACTATTTTGTAGTGATGCAAGATAATATCAGTATGTCATTGGTATTGGCTAATATCAGCTTTTAGAGTCAACCAACATGCTTTTTTCTTAATTTGCACAGTGAATGAATATTAAATACATTGAAAAATATTGTATTTCATGTCCCCATCTGCTGGCAGGCCATCACAGTAAGAGTATGCATGCATAATATGATGTTAATTCCACTACAGAAGAGACTTGATGATCACTAAAATAAGTGGGGACAAAAGTGAATGTATATCAATATCGGTATTGGTCAAATGAGTCGTTACATATCAGCATATCGGATGTTGGCAAAAATCCAATATCATGCATCAATACTATTTTGTACAGTTCACTTTTTCATTTAAATAAGTTAAATAAATAAACAAAGTTTTGTTTAATTCTGTAAATTGATTTATATTATATTATTGTGATATATATCATTTCATTCTATGAATATCATTCAATATCATTTTATGAACTTTAAAAGGCTACTTTCATGATCATTTCTATTATCAAATCAATGCCTCTTTGTTGCTGTGAAGGAAATATTGTAGAAATACTTGACTTTGTGGAAGCTCAGGAGGTCTTAGTGAATTGGACAGCCTTTAAATATGCCATCCAGGATTTTACACCCATACATTGGGAAATATTTTTTCTGAATTCTAGATCACTGCCATATGGTGGGGCAGTGTGACAAGTGTGACGTGATGGATCTCTTCCCTATAGACTCAGTCAGACTAGTCTGGATTACTTGATGACAGATGGACTTGCCAGCAAACTGGATTGCTTTCTGGTTAGCTATTCATTGATCGGCTGATCTGTGTGGTTGCAGGTGGAGGAGGAGCAGATGCTGGAGATGTGGGTGAAGGAGGAGACGTCCGCCACACGCACCAGCGTCCTGGAGAAGTGGACCCGGCTGCAGGGCATGCCTCAGCATCAGGCCATGCTGAAATACATGAGCATCATCAAGGAGTGGCCTGGATACGGATCCACTCTGTTTGATGTGGAGGTGAGAAAATAAAAGAACAAATAACAGATTTCAGAGATTTGTGCAAAAATCTACAAAACACCTGACGGGTAATGTCTTCTGTTCTCTTCTCCTTTGTTTCCTCTGCCTCTGTAGTGTAAAGAAGGAGGTTTCCCTCATGATCTGTGGCTGAGTGTGAGCGCTGACAACGTGTCGGTGTATAAACGGGGTGAACCTAAACCACTGGAGACCTTCCAGTACGAACACATCACCTTCTTTGGAGCTTCACAGCCGTGCACCTACAAGATCATCGTGGACGAGAGGGAGATGTTCTTTGAGACGCCACTGGTGAGAGATCTTTATTTATTATTCACCTTTTCTTTCTTTATTCTTCAGATCAGGGCACATACTAACCCACCACTTTCTTATTTCTCTTCAGGTTGGGGAGATCACCAAGATCATGAGGGCCTACATCAACATGGTGGTGAAGAAACGTTGCAGCATCATGTCAGTGACCAGCGTAAGCAGCACCTGGGTCAGGTGATCGCCACAAACCAGTCAGACCCCTCGGTTCATCCAGTGGCAACAGATGCCTCGGCCCCCCCTGCATCGGTCGGTTGGTTTTGATGGAGGCAGTCGCACCAGCCATCCTCAAGGTTGAATCAAGTGTGGTGGAAGATCAAAATGGGGAAGATAGAAGTGGACACAGAAGCCAAACGCACACTCTCCTGGCCTGGGTCTCGCTTGGGATGGGGGGATAATTTTAAAATGTGCATGACAAAGAAATCAACCTGTATTTTGGGACGGTCCTCTCAAACACATAACCCCTCCAGTTGTAGCCCTGCATGTAGATGTTTAAGCACACTCCAAACTTCTCCCTGCTTTCCTTCTCCGGACAAAACTCAGTAATAACAAGCACAACTCAGCCGCCCAGTCCCAGTCTGTCCCAGGTGGCGACCCCTACCCCACTCCCGACGCCCCCAGTGCACTGCCAGACAGAAGAAAGCCACACATTCTCAGTTAAACCTTTCTTTCTCACTCCTCCAATTTCAAGAGTCTCTCTCTTTCTCTTCACGTGTCCTCACTCCTGTTGCATCTTCGTTTGCTATTGGTATTAAGTTATTATGCTGAATTCTTGCTTGCTTTCTCTCTGTTGTTCTCTCTCTGTCGTTTATCTGTAACATCAGCTGTATCACATCTGTTTATGAGAAAAAGGACTCAAAGGGCTGCTGAAGGGGGAAAGGAGCTCCCTGCCCGACATGGCGTTTCGTTCACTCGCTCGTCAGTGCCACCGTGTGGCCACAAGAAGAAAACGCAGCCAAAGGAAGTGGCTTTAAATATTTCTGAACAATATCAAAAAGATATTCTTAAGAAGAAGCGGAGGTTTTACTTTGGAGGCTCTCTGGTCACGTTTAACTTGACGCGGAGAGTTGGCGCATGGCCTCACTCGGCTCTACAAGGAGAACAATATCAACCAGAATAATATGAGGCGAAACATTTCCCTATCTATGTCTACATATAACACACGCCACATATATCTACTGTATATTCACACACATAAACTGAACCAACATGTATCGTTTTGTACTGTATATCACGCATTATAGGAGGTATTATTGAATTTCCGGTGCCCCTCTGCACTGTACAGTATATAGATGCCATGCTGAATGCAATGTGGCACCTCTTGTGTAAAATACATGCAAGTGAATGGTGTTAATAATGACCACTGTATGTCTGAATATGATGCCAACACTGTACATCGTTCACTGGCTGTGCCATTAATGTGACTCACGGAGAAATTAGTAGTAAAAACACTGACAGGCTGCTGCGGCGGCCATGTTTTCACAGTGTTTTGATGATTTTATCATCGTTGTCGTCTGTGGGACTCACTCTGCAGCGTTAATTGGAGCCATAGAATATTGTATATCCCTGTCTGTCCGTGCTATTCTCTTTATTTCTTTACCAAGATCAGTGACTTGAACAATAACGCGTAAGAGCTCCGGTTTGTCTGTGTTTCCAATCTGTTTATGAACAGCTATCCCCCCGCTATCTTAACCACCCTGAACTGCTGTGTCAGGAATGCTGGCGTGTCTGTGTGTGCGTGAGTGTATTTATGGTGTATCAGTTGGAAAAGAAAAGGGAAATGAGAAAAGAGAAGTGATTTTAATGAGTGTATTCCTTGGAAATAAGACGTATTTACATGACTAACCTTTGCGAAGAATGGTGTTGTGATTGTGAGTTTAAGGGAAAAGCATGGGATTTCAAGGGAGGGTTAGGGGTTATTTAATTCTTATTGTACTGTATGTATTGAAAGGTGTGTTTGGGAGGATTATGTATTAAAAAAATATATTGAATTTTTTAGTCTCAGTCTAAGAGGAGCAGATAGGACACTGTGAGGATATGGGCTCAGAGATGGCTCTAAATGTGCACTGGGAATGCTGACAGTTATCACTGCTTTGTGTGTGTGTGTGTGTGTGTGTGTGTGTGTGTGTTTTTGGACTGAAAGTGAAGTCACTGTTCTGTCACCTAACTCTGCGGCACTGCAGGTAGACAGCAGCATCCCTCATATATAACACACCTTTGTTAACAAAGTGTTTCCCTGCAGCGGATATCTAGAGGGAATACTTAGATAAGACGGAAAAAACAACCAAACATGCTCAGATTAATTGTCTTAATTTGTTCTAGCTAGTGTCCAAACAAGTTTCTGTGTTAATATTTGCTCTAAAAACAGTTGCGGTTTGCAAGACGTTTGAGTGAACTTGAACTTCCTGTGGTGAAAGTTGTCTGCTGTCTATGTGGAGTGCCGCATGCAGGGCTGTAGCCAAGATTTTAGAGATATTGAGGTCATGAGCCAACACCTTCAACCCCTAAATCAACCCCTACACTCTAGATATATAGACATATTGTAATTTGGGATTTGTCATAGTTTATCTTCTTATGAAGGTTAATTAATTGTGGATATAGTCACGAATTTTATTCCTTAATCCTTTGAAACCTTAGCAAATTGTCTTGATTTCATTAAAAATATGGGAAGAAGACAATGAGCAATGAAAGAAGAAATTACCCCAAAAACTAGCAACACACTAGCAAAAAGAGAAAATTGAAATCAAGAAAATTAGTAAAAAAGAAAAAAGAAAGTTAAAAACAACAAACAAGGAATTACCTGGAAAAGGTGCTTAAAAATTCTAATAATTCTGTAACATAATTTAAAAATTAAATAATAAAAATTATTATAAATATAGTTTTACCTAGCTTTTTTCATTTTCCACTAGTTTTTAAAAAAAATAATAATTTTCTATTTTTTTTTTTTCTTTTTTGTGGGACATTTCTTACCAAATTTCCCATTGCCTTTTATACCATGTTTTATTTAAATAAATCTCACCAATCTGCTTAGGGTTCAAAGGTTTAAATATTAGCAAAAGGCGTCTGAAAGGAGCACAAGAAAAGTGATGATGCTCCAGGTTTCAAAGGGTTAATGCTGTTTCAAATCATCTCACACATTAGTTGCAACAACATTTTTTGAGGACATGGCGAAAGTATTGATTTATTTGGCCTGAATATGTCTAAAAATCCTGCAATCAGCCAACTAAATTTAAACTCCCTGTATTTCCTTTGCCGAAAAGCCCCAAATTCCTGCAGAAAAACCCCAAGGACATGACCTCAGCGTCCTCAATGGTAGCTACGGCCCTGGCTGCATATACACACAGCCCACTGGGATCCTGCCTATAGAGTTAGAATAAGCAGAACTCACTCACAGGTTCCACTTTGAACTTTTGGTTATTTTAGTTTTGGCTAAAATGAGAGGAGAACCAGAGAACCCATAAGCCATAATTTTACAAAGGAGCCTGGAGCTGTGTGTTCTGGTTATTCTACATCTATGGTTCTGTCTGTCACTGATATTACACTGAGTAGGAAGAAGTTGCCCCGCAGTTGCTGAAATGCGATCAGTGTGTTTTGCTAAAGGGAACAGCAGTGAATGGAAGTTAGATTTCTGATCGCAGATCTGTTTCCAAGGGCAACTTCATCACAAAGGGTCCTGTTATCAGCCGCAGGCGGCCAGAGTGGGGCCCATTCTTATCTTATGTTATGCTTATTATCATCATTAACATAGTAAAACATTGTGCTTGTTATAAAAAAAAAGAAAAGAGAAAGAGAGAGATACTATGTGTGTTGTTCTTTTTTATTTGTAACTGGCTTTACAAAATTATGCTTTAATAAATTATTGGAATTATTGTCCTCTATTTTATGTTGTCTTTATGAGTTTATTTTGGCACACAAACAGTGGAGAGGGCATTAATTTAAGTAGCTGACATATCTACGTAGCATAAAGCTAAAAATAGATCATGCTTTTCAACATTTTAAGATAGATTTGTGTATTTTTTTCTTGTGTTGTACAATTGTAGAGTGAAAAAAGGAAAGGAGCACCATGCAAAAGTTTGAGCACCCCAAGATATTTGACATTTAAGATTATAAGTCTTGAAATAATTCAGAAATTCTTAGGGTGAATGCTACATTTTATCTCATTTAGGTAGGTTTTTTTTCTGTTAAACATGAAGCTATAGCTAGCAACTGCTTAGCTTAGCTTAGCAAATTGTTGGACACAGAGCAACCTAGAAACTTTATTTGAGCCCCGTTGGTCGTGAATTTCACTTCCATTCTTTGTATTTTCTGCTTTAAGATTATTTATTATAAAGTAATCTTAGGTTAAAGCTGCTAAAATGAACTTTTAACTGGATATGCAAAAGTCTCTCGTTTCTGCTGATGTCTGTGCGTGACCTACAACAGCAAATGAGACCATCGGTGTGAAGATAAGCTATTTCTATATAGTGTATATCCATACCTTTAGGAAACTGTGTCCGGGTCCGCACCAGGTTGCTTCCAGGACGAAACGATTTACGGCACTCGGACGGCACACGTCATCTTACCTAGCTGCTTACATTTAGTGACTCTTATAAATAGCCGCTATTCCTCCTCCTTGACCCGACGTGCGGGGAGTTAAAATAGCAGCAATCATCGGGTAAAAGTTCTGTGAAAGCACTGGACTCACCAACAGTCAGCCACGTCTCAGTCACACAGAGAAAATCCAATCCTCGGGAAGTCAGGAAATCCTTCAGGATAAACGTTTTGTTCGCTAGCGATCCAGCATTTACCAGCCCAATCCTGGCAGGAGCCGGCGGGTCCACGGCGTTAGCTGTCCTGGGAGCCACACACAGAGGCCGCAGGTTGCGCAGATTCACCCCGCGCCAGCGGGGACAAGGAGAGCAGGGGCTGTGGGGCTGGAACACCTCATCCGGGCTGACGACAGGTACCAGCCAGGCGTTGACAGGGTCCAGCGAGTGCTGAGAAATAAAGAGGCGAGGCACCGCTCCATACTCAGTCCATGAAGCTGTGGAAGTGCTCGCCAAACAGGCCTTCAGCCTTACCAGCTGACCTCTGCGTTTACCCCGGCGGTGGTGGCGCTTACGCTGGAGAGGTGGAGCTGGGGCGCGGCAGAGATGAGCTGGGATCCCCGATAGGAGTGGGGGCAAAGTTTTCCCGTCTTGTTGTTTCATTCATCCGCAAAACAAACACATGCGCGAGCCAGGTAAGCATCTTTACAACAATACGCGCTAGAGCTCATGGGAAATGTAGGCTTCATTCTGGCAAAACACTACCGCTTTTGTCCACAGGGTCGCCAAAATCAACTCAAAATGAAAGTTCCTTGTAGGGGCTTTAAGGCTACATTTAGTTTAGCTTAGCACATTTTTAGGCTATCTCAGCTCATAAAACTTGTCTCACATTTTAAATATGAAGCTAGCTAGCAGTCAGTTGGCTTAGCAAACTGTAGGACATAAAGCAACCTAAAAACTTTGAGACTCGTTAGATGTGAATTTCGCTTTCATTCTTGGTAATTTCTGCTTTAAGATTACTTTTTAAGTAATAAAAGTAATTCAGAAAGAAGGCTACTTTTAGCTTTCCTTGGCAAATTGTTTTTATCAGCTCATGAATCTGGTCTCACACTTTAAATATGAAGCTCCAGCTAGTAGTCAGCAGCTTATCTTAGCAAATTATCATTTTTACACCTTGGGTTTGTACTGATAACCAAACAAGATTCAAATATTCAGGTCAGGGGCCAAAGTGGCTTTGTGACATGATAGAGGCAGACGAGACGACGCTGTTTGGCCCCATGAATGGAGCATTTACATTTTAAAACGCCCAGATAGGATCTGTTTATTGGAAGACTACCTGTGGGCAGTGAATTTCACATGGGACAAGGAATGGACATGTAACAGTGTGGTGGTTGTCTCCTGGTAACTGGACTGGTTAACATATTGAGCATGGACTAATTTACCTGTTTTGGACTTCTTATGTACTTATTTTATTTATTGTTTTTACTTTTATGTTTTACTGTCACAATAAGAGTGTGTATCTTAATTTTGCCTTATTATTTTTTTTTTTACTGGTTTTTAGTTTGGTCTTGTAAAAAATTTAAAAAAAACTCAATAAAAGTTGAATCATAAAAAATAAAACGCCCAGATGGAACTGTTGAAAGCAGCACTGTTTGGAATTTTCATACCATAAAGCCTGAAATATCACCTCAAAGCAAAGCATTTAGCAGCACACCGGTCCAGCCAGGTGTTCAAATGCAAACTGAGTAAGTCTACCTGTGAATGACTGACTCCCTTGCAAAATAGATTGCAGTGGACTGCATACCAGATTCGGTGGTAGAGGACAGGGGGACAATTGTGTCTGAAATCCAGCAGCTTTGCTATGACACACCTGCAAAAATCAATTTGAATTGAGATTTTTTTTTTAAAAAAAAACATTTACAGGAACAATTGATGCATGTGAATAATTTAGATTAATTAATCACAGAGCATGAAATTAATGAGTTATTTTTTTTAATTGCTTGATAGCCCTACAATTATATTACTCTAAAAACAGTGTCATTTGCTATATATGTCTTCAAAAAGGCAAACCCATCATGGCTCCATGGTTTTCTTTTTCTTTTGATTTTTATATAGTCAGTGGCTATCTAAAAAAAGACATGCTTTCTTTATCAAAGGTATACAATCTATATATAGACTTAAAAAACTATTACATTAAATTATTAATTTCTTACTTTCTTTGATATTTTTGTCAGACATGCAACCATGAGGACATGCACAATAGCGTGCATGAGGGGCCCCTCACAATACTGTGCACTGAGGCCCTTCTTAACTTCCTTACGCCACTGACTCAGGTGCAGAATTCGTCGTACAGCCAAGGAAAACACGCACCCAGACGCACAGACACGCCTCCCCTCCTTTCTCTTTGGTGCGTAATGAGCGTGCGTCAAGATTCAGCCTTTGGTTCCTTCTCGGCAAGTTCACCTCTCGAGTTTCGGCAGCCCAAACATTTCCTGTTTCTGTGCTCACAGGTGTCTCAAATCTCTTCAGACGAAAAGTCTGAGGAATAACATTTGGAATAATCTGCGTCCGAGCGGTGTGATGATGGATTCACGGGTTGTTGTCGCTGCTTTGCTGCTTGTCTTCGGTTTGGCGACGGTTTTCGCCCAGTCTACAACACCTAACCACGGTAGGAGTGGGAATCAGTGAGTCTGTGGTGATTGAGGAATTCATGGCTGCTAAGAAATAATCTCATAATTTAAAATAATCGCTTTTAGATACCTAAAAAGTCAGTGATAGAAATGTCACCTGATTTATTGAAGCCTTTCTTTGGCCCTGAATTACAATCCTTTTTTTTTCTCTTTTTAGGTCAGTGTTGTTTCAACTCTTTTGTGTTTTACTCCTTCTGTAAAGAAAATAAGAATATAACAGGACATCAAGCAACTAAAAAACTTAATTTGAGCTGTGTTGGTCCCAAATTACACTTCAATTGTCTCTGGTTTAAGATTATTTCCCATAAAATATGAGAAAGAAAGCTTTAAAAGCAAAATAAACTGTGATTGCATTGATATCATTGTGTCTGTTAGTTTAATATCTGTATTGTTGAGACCTCTCAGCAGGAACAATGAGTCTCTTTTCATTTCACAACCCCCCTCAGGTTTCTGTTCCAGCAGGAGTAGCTACAAATAAACCCAGCATACAAGAAAGAGACTTTGTTTGTTTACACCCCAGTTTTACAGAAACACAGCTCGTCTTAGACAAACCCAGCTGTTGTCCTGTGCGGTCTTCTGATAATAACATGACTGGTGTGAAGCCTGTGTGTTTACTGCGCCGTGTGTCTCCATGGAAAAATGTCCCAGGAGGATTAGCAGTAGTTACAGAAACCACAGCGAGAACAGGCCTCGTTTTTAATCTGCTTCTCATGGTGTTTTCCAGCCAAAACTCTCTGTGTCTGTGCGTCTGAGTGACATCATGTTGACTGAGTTCACTCCCTTATTTACACTCTGTGGAAGTACTAAACAAGTGGCTTGTTTTTTCCCTACAGTGTGCGAGACGAAGAATGGGACAAGCTGTGAGGAATGTCTGAAAAATGTGACGGTACGTCCTGGGAGAAAAGCTTTTGTTTCAGCTGGGTTGATTTCCCTCTGCATTCTGAGTGTGTGTGTGCGTGATGAAGAAAGAAACGTCCAATTTGGAGCAACCATAGCCAGCGACTCCTCCTCCACCTCCACACCTGTTAGACTGGTTTGGGGAGTAACTGATCTGTCATCCACTCCCACCTTCCTCCTCCATTTTCTACTTTATGTGTGCATGTTATGTATCCTTCAAGTGCCCTGAATACCTCAGAAATCATTGTTTGTCCAAACAATACAGAGGTCATCATGTGCTTTCGTATCTTTACAGTGTCTCTGGTGCATCACCACCAAGTCGTGTGTTACATACCCAGTGAGGACCATCCTTCCACCCCATTCACTCTGTCCGCTGAACGATGCACGCTGGGGCCTCTGCTGGAGTAAGACAGCACACACACAGACCCACATAGACATTCACATATATACAGTCACACTTTACTTTACATATACTCAGATTTTTATTAATTTAAACTAAAGAAAAGCTTGCGCTGGAGAGGCTGGAAGCTTAAAGCTACAAAGACCTCCCTAAAAAACTCAAGGCAAGACAGGGGTGTCAAATTCATTTTTGTTCATGGGACACGTACAGCCCACTTTGATCTTAGATGGGCCGGACCAGTAAAACCATCGCACATTAACCCCTAAGTACAATCAGCTCCAATATTTTCCCTTTACTTTGTGTAAAGAAACAAGTACATTCTGTAGATGATCATCCTTTTACAAAACAGATAAACAGCCTGAGATGTTTCGAGATAAATAAGTATGTCTCAATTTTCCCACATTCAGTCAGTCTCCATCTCACTGTCATAACGTGTGCATTTATCCACACATTTCCTGTTACAGATTCTTTTGAACTGAAGCTGCTCATTGACAATATTTTTCCACAATGTTCAATTTTTTTAAACATGGTCACAGTAAGTGTTGATTGTTATATCAGAGAACTGTATTCTGGTCAGGGTAGAAAAGCATCTGACGCAGAATTTTACATAAAGTAGGCAACACATTGTTTAACTTACTCCTGAAACCTGGCACCTCTTAGTCTCATCATCTAATGGGCCGAATTGGACCCTTTGGCGGACTGGTTCTAGCCCACGGGCCGTATGTTTGACACCCCTGATTTAACTGATCAGTTACTGTACAAAAAGCAACTATTATATATCAAGCACAGTTCTGTGGCATGTGTACATTATTTGAAAGTTTCCATTTTGTGCATCTTTTTACTTAAACTCCACCAAATGTCACAGGTTACTCAGCTACATTTGTCTGATGTGGCACTGCCAGTAAAAATTGTTTGTTGTTCATTTGGTCTATGAAACATCAGAAAATAGTGAAAAATGTCAATTTGCCAGAGTCTAAGGAGGATCTTTTCAGAGACCAACAGTCCGAAACACAAAGATAATGAATTTATAACAATACAAGATAGAGAAAATAAGCAAATCACATTTGAGAAGCTAAAGTCAGTTCGTTTTTTTTTTTTTTTTTGTGAATGCATGCATTTACGTGCTGCTTGGATGGTCCCATTTCCTGAGTTGGAGAGTCGTTCTTCTGACTTTGTTGTGTTCATGAGCTTTAGGGTGTTTTCACACTTAGTCCTTTTCAGCCCTCTAAACGAACTCGGCTGTGACTCAGCATTTTTTGCGCATATGTAAAAACTCCAAGAGAACTCAGACTCCTCTGAAGCTAACTACATTCAAACCACCTTAGGAGGTGGCCTGAGATTGGTTGGCTTCAAGACTGCGGTGCAGTTCACTTAACCTGTGCCTTGTGAACACAAAGTGCTCCAGGTTCGCTTTGCTCCTTACCATTGTATTTATAGCCCTCTAGATCATGTGCTATTGCACTGTGATGCTTGAAAAAACAGACAAAACCATGTCGGCCTGTAACGCTTGCAAGGACGCAGGACGATGAGTAGTTTGGTCCACAGAAGATACTGCACATCTCCAGATGTGGAATGTAGAATACATCAAACAGCAACAGTCTACAGCACAGAAACGCTAAGGTTTTCCTCCAATTTTAAGCTCATCTGAAAGCGAGGGGCATCATAGCCGCACTGCAGTGCCATGTCAGAGTGAAAATAATACTATATCAATATATATAGGCTATAGTGTGTGAACAGAAAGAGTGCACAAAAAGACAATGTGAACACAAAAAGAACTGGGTCCGTTTTCTGTTGTTCCACTTTAAGAGGACTGGGTTCGGTTTGTTTAAAAAGGACTGTATGTGAAAACATCCTTAGTCATGATGTGGAAACAACATGGAAGCTGCAAAGAAGATGTGTTATATCTCATTGCTCAAAGCTATAAACAACACGTAAATAAAAGTTTAAAGCTTTATATTACAAAGTGATTTTGTTCCAAACATGTTGTTGGAGGAGTACATTCCCTAAAACCACTAAAACATTGCTTTACCTGACTAATGTTAATAAATAATTTGGCCCTAATGTCTCACATCCTAAAAATAACAGCACAATCAAACATTACAAGTAGATATGAGTGCTGCAGTCAATTATAGTCACCTTGTAATATACATACGAAGATCAGAGAGATTAGATCAGGGAAACACAAAGAAAAGAAAAGGTACAGCATGTATTTTACGATCTGTGACTGTGGACTCCTGCATAACTTTGTCATTGTGTTTCTCTCTCCATCTGTAGTGAACTTCCAGACGCTGATAATCACCTTGGCAGTGATCGGAGGAATCATCATCATCGCCCTTCTGGTTTGCCTGTTCTGCTGCTGCAAGTGTGAGAACTTCGGGTGAGTGTGCAGTCAGCCTATCGCTCTGTGAGAGATGAAGATGAAAGGAATCTGCAGCTGTATTTATAGAGTATTTATATGATGGACTTTAAGTGGAGGACTGTGTACTGTAACCTGTCTTTTACAGTAACTGCAATTTGAGGCAGTAACAAAATAATATAGACACTTAAAATAACAAAAACAGTTATTATTTTTAAATACTGACTCTTCACGAGTGTATTTGAATGAGAATTAAATCCAAAATCACACACTTTTTGAGCAGTAAGAACATATCTATTGTAAATGTTTGAAGTATTTAGATGAAAATCAGGTTTTGTGGTTAATCTGCTTCCTGGATTTTCCATCCCTCCCACTCAGCCCTTTCAGTTTTGTTTCTATAAATATCTGTCTTACCCTCTACCACCCCTTTATCAACATAGGCAGCACACAGCTACTTTGCTCTTTAGAATGGCAACAGTGGTCCCTCCAGGGTGGTTTGGATGATGATAAAGTTTTATTTGTGGCTTGTCAGTGATCCAAGTTACATTTAGACTGTTGAGGTTAGAGACGGTTAGGTTTAGGTACACACTTATTGTCACAGAGCAGGGTTTAAGTATGGGTTTGGTGTGTTTAAGGCCAGAGCATGACTTTAAGATGATGGGCCCCTGGGTATAGACATGCAAAAGGTCCCATCACCTCTCTTACAAAGGAGCAAAACACGGAGACTTTACAGTTGTTTGCCTCTTTTTGTTGTTGTTTTGCATTTCTTTGTGGGTTTTTTGCCCCTTTTCACAGTCGTTATGAGTCTTTCTGTGGTCTCTTTGCATGTCTTTGTAGTTGTTTCGGTCTTTTTGTAGCCTTTTATGTTTCTTTGTGGTCATTTTGAGTCTCTTCCTGGTCAGTAGGCATCTCTTTGAGTGGCATTTTGCATGTGAAAGCCAGGGGTGACACTTGGGGCCCCTGACCATGGATTACTTCCTTTGTCACCCTGTCAAGTAACTTTCTTCATATTAGTCTGAAGCTAAATTCATTACAAGGTGATATCATGTGATCGTGATCTGCGTGTACTATGCTGGGAAATTTCAGCCATTAGGTGTCCTCACTCAACACACACACACACTGTGTACTTCCCTTTGACCTATTTAACCATAACTCTAACTTTTTGGTCTTGTGTTTGTGTGTCAGATCCAAGAGGTTCGAAGCCAAGATGCAGAAACAGGCCAATAAGATGAAAACCAAGCAGGAAGAAAGGTGAGGAACAATGTTCTGTTAATGTGACGTCGAGTGTGTGTGATACAGGTTCAAGCCTGACCTGGTTTGCTAATGGCAGATGCTATTTGGACCCAGGTGTCCATAGCCAACAATGCTATTTACACCGGGGTGCTAATAGCAAATGTGGCTATTTGCACTCCTGGGCGTCCTAGCAACACAGAATATGACATTAATGTAAATGGGTCTCTTAAGTCAGTGGTTCCCAACTGGTCCAGCCACAGGGTCCAGATTTCTCCTTAGTCATTACTTCAGTGTCCTCACAGTTTAACATATTCAGTGTCATACTTGCGCTTGGCCATGTCACCAAGCTATTTTGCTGTCTCTGTTATTCACTCACTCTACAGCAGGAAACGGCACTTCAAAATAAAAGCTTGTGTCAGAAATCCACTGTACTTCAAAAATAAAGTGTGTTTTTTATAAACTTGACACGTTCACGAGTCACTTGCGGTCTATTAAGAGTGGACCTGCGACCCATTTTTGGACCAGTTGGGAACCACTGTCTTAAGCTATTCTGCTAACGTTTATGTACAGTGTGACATTCAGCAGCTTTATTCATTTTAAAACCTGAAAATAATAAGTCAGCAAGGTCTTAAATGGATCAGCCATCATTATTGACTCACACAGGACTTGAACTTCAGTATGTATGTCCTGTGCTTAACCCACTCAGCCACCATGTCTTGCTACTGTTTTGGACTGTATACCATGCCACCTGACTTTCTGGCAGCACATTTGTATTTTTTTATCTCATAAATTCACCACTTAAATCCCAGAACATATCTGAGACCATGACCTATTTACCCTAATACTAACTGCTTCTAACTTAGACGTGTCAACATGACCAGCACTAGCCACTCACAGCTCACAGTGGGATCCATAATAATGCGTCATAGGGATGGGTGTAAATAGCTGAAGAGCTGCAGTGTGACTTCTCTCACCTGATGCAAATAGACACTGTTTCTTCTTTTGTGAGTGTATATTTATATTCATAGTCTATCAGTAGCTCTCCTGCTCAAAAACATGGTTCAAGAGACGGCGTCATTCTCACCAAGTAACCTCTGGAGCCTCAGGTGCATTAGGTGGACTTGAATTTGCAATTAAAATGGTTTATAATGGAGTAAAACACAAAAGCAATTCATTCCTTTTATCAGGTTGCATCTTGATTGAGTTTGGCCAGCGGTGGAGCAATGCACTGTTGCATGCAATCTGCCCTTCCTCCATTGCCACTACCTTTTCCAAGCTCTCTTATCAAGAAAGTTTACAGGTTTATCGAGAACAATCTCTCTGTGCAGAGCTTTCTCCACCAATGAAAAAAAAACCTGACACTTCCTTATCCATGCTGCTTCGCCCTGTTTATACCCTTCTATACTTTGGCCTGACATTGTTTCCGTAAACAGAGCTCTTTCAGCCTGTAACTTTCTCCCGTGACACTGCAGCGATCAGCTGTAAACTCTAATGACTGACTCACTCTGGGTGGCCTGTGAGTGCTGTGCGCAGATTAGTTTGCTCAGTCGTGGCAGCGCCTTCTTTAGGCAAATAAAGTTTGAGTTAAGTCCAGCTGACGTTTTGATTCACCAGGGATTTACAGTATTTGTTTATATTTGTCCTTACAGTACAAACGCCCGTGCCACTGCTTTCAGGTAGTCTCCTAATAGTCTCAATCTGCAGGTTTGTCTCGTGGTGTACTAACGACAAAGCACCTGATGCACCAGCTCTCCTGTTCTATTGTTGGTCATGATTCATATCAGTTCCCTTCATAGCACACCACAAAAGCACACGTCACACTGTCACCAGCCCAAACTGGTTTGTGGCCAGACGACTTTTGGGAGTGTTTGAGAGTATGAAAAATATTATCAGTCATTGTGTTGCTCAGACGGGAATGTTTTGTTCTTACAGGAGGGCAGAAATGAAACAGAGGCATGACGATATCAGGAAGAAATATGGTGAGCTCTCACTCGCTGACACACTTTCTTTTCTCTTTTATACACATGTGCACATAATAGTAGTGCAGACATGTTGTTTTGTTCCTAATGCTGAATGTGAGTGTCTGATCTTTTGATAAGAGAATTAACTAAACTCATTTTGGGTGTTTGTTTCCACAGGTCTGAGTGGACAAAATCCATACTCCAAATTTGCATGAGAGGATCTGAGATTTACACCACCACCCTTCTGTTTGCCCGCTGACCTCTCATACAACAAACATCAGTTAACTCTCTTGTGGTTGTGAGTAAAGGCATGATAATTACTGTAAACTATGACTAAGAGAATTTTAGGAAGGTGAAATCAGTTTTGTATAGAAAGTCTCGTCTGGCCGATGAACAGGAATGTTGTGTTCAATGTGATGACCTGAGAGGCTGTAACCAAAGTGTCAGCATTGTTCTTCAAGACTATAACGGTCTATCCTGTGGCTATATAGCATCAGTCTGCTTATACTATTTATTAGGTCTTGTAGAGTTGACTTGTACAGATAGGAAAATAATCCATTGAATAATTCTTTCCTTTTGCTCAATAAAAATCTGTTGCATCTACAAGTTTCATCTGTTTTGCTCCTCTGAGCTGCTGCTGATTTAGTGATATACGTACGTAGAAAATAAGAACCTATTTTTGTATTTTGTGTGATTATTCTCTTGTTTCAAATGGACTCATTCCTATTCTGACATGTATAGGAGGCCATATTTATTGTCTTACTGCTATATGTTCCACTAACAGAGAAGATTTTTTCAAGGCATTAGATTTGATCAACATTAAATCTTATCTTCACCCGCAGAAAGTAACCATTACCTTGAGTTGAATGTGTTGATCCTAAAGTTGGATTGAAGTCTGCCTAATTCTACATTTGCCTGTATATCCTGTAGAGACACAAGCCAATAAAAGACTTTGGACTAATCACGAATTCATTTGTAGCACTGGACGTTTATTGTTTGTGTATTTCCTCTGTTGTGCTTTTATTAGAATCACAATTTTCTGCCTTATATTTTGTGTCTTCAGTTATAAAGTGAAAGTTAATTGATTAAAACTGTGGTGGCTGTCAATACAGTACTTCACTTGGAGGAGTTTAAATGCTGAAAACACCTCACTAAAGGACTTTAGAGCAGTGGTTCCTAACTGCTGGGTCACGGGTCCATTCTGAATGGACAGCAAGTGACACGTGAATGTGTGAAGTTCCTAAAAAACACAATTTATTTTCCAGCACAGAGCTTTCATTTTGAAGTGCCGTGTCCTGCTGTAGAGTGACTAATGGACAGCTATTTGACAGAGACAGCAAACTAACTCAGTGAAGCTCGATAGTTATTACTGTGTGGACCTTGAACCAGTGACTTGGGAGAGATCCGGACCCAGTGGCTGGACCAGTTGGGAACCACCGCTTTAGAGGCTAAAGGCTGACACCTGCTGTGTGAAGTAAAGAACATTTTTATTGTGTCCAAAATAATTTTTGCCCATTTTATCCCAAATACTGTTGGGATATCAGAATTTATCCTTAGCATAAATTAATGTTATAGTTTGCACTTTTAGTATAGGAAATTGAAAATTGAAATCTTTCGATTTACTGGTCCATCTACGTCCCAACCCTCACCTATGGTCGTGAGCTATGAGTAATGACCAAAAATGGGGTCGTGGATACAAGCGGCCGAAATGAGTTTCTTCAGAGGAGTGGCTGGGCTCAGCCTTAGAGATAAGGTAAGGAGCTTGGATATCCGGAGGGAGCTCAAAGTGGACCTGCTGCCCCTTTGCGTCGAAAGGGATCAGTTGAAGCAGTTTGGGCATCTGATCAGGATGCCTCCTGAGTGCCTTCCGTTAGAGGTGTTTCAGGCACATCTCACGGGTAGAAGGCCCCAGGGCAGACCCAGAACACGCTGGAGGGATTATAAATCTCATCTGGCCTGAGAACGCCATGGGGTCCCCCAGGAGGAGCTGGAAAGTGTTGCTGGGGAGAGGGACGTCTGGGGTGCTTTGCTCAGCCTGCTGCCCTCGCGATACGGCCTTGGATAAGTGGATGAAAATGGATGGATGGATGGATTGACTTTTAATATAAATAAGGTGCCAGGGACCTTGTTTATCAAAAAAAGTGCCAGGGGTGGATCCCCCTGACACCCAACAGAGGTCCAGAGTGAGCCCTAAATGTCCTCAAATATTAGAGTGCTTTCAGACCTAGAGTCGTCTTGCTTTGATCCGAATCGGACTAATTTTGTCACAAATTTGTATAATTGCCTAGAGTTGGTTCGTGTTCTCACGGCACCATTTACAAGCAGACCAGATCAAATGCCTTGTGCATTTGATTGGTCAGAATTTCCATGTCGGAAAATCCAGGAAGTAAACAAAACATTGAAGAATTGAAGAAGAATGAAGAACACATTCTAATGTCACAGTAGAGGGACAACTACGCAGGTTGATTTTAGCGCTGGTCATCATGGACTATATTGCTGTCATTGTTCATTTTAGTCAAACCATACAGTTTGAAAACGAGGCGCGGCTCCAACTAGAAAACAATGTTTTGATGCATTGGATGTGCTGAATGTGCATATTAAGGCAGTACAGGAGGAGGTGCACATTAATAATCCTCCAGGACTGTAACATGCTCATGTTTAACCCAAACAATGTGTCATGTGACTGCAGTTGGTTCAGATCCAGGTCGGAACACGTTCTCACCACAAATGAACCGCACCAGAGTTCATTTGTAACCAAGACCACCTCTTCAAGAAGGTCTCAGTGTATTTATTCACAATTCAAGACCTTTTAAAAAGCACAGTCGGTTGCATGTAAGAGGAATTTAAGCAGTTGCCTGTGCTGAAGAAAAAAAAATTGCATGTCAAACACTGTTTTTGCACATTTGGTTTTTTTCTGTCGTGACTTTATTTATTTATTTGTGACTAAAATAAATATAAACACATGCATTGTCCCAGTATTGCCTTGGTAGGCTCTTCAGCTCGCGTGCTCGCGTATTTTGCATAGGTGCGCGCTCCCGCGTCCGCGCTCCCGCTGTTTAATAACGTGGTCTCCTCAGGTCCAATCATATATTTGTAACGGCGGTCCAAAGCGCGCACCCGTCAGCGGAGCAGAGGAGAGGACAGAAGGCGGCAGAAAGACAAATAACGCCCAATTAACCGATTTTCCTGAAGCCCCGCACACAAAATACAGCCAGGATGTCAGAGGAAAAGCCAAAGGTAAGATTTAAACCTTTTAAAAGCTGTGGATTTGTAGCGATGGCTCAGTCGAGCTCCTGCCAAACCATTTCTCAGATGTGCAATCTAAAATGGCCTGGTTTGCACGTTTCTCTGAATCGGCGCAGTGTTTGTTTCGCAAATGAATGAGCGCCCGCACATCCATATTTAAATTTATATGCTCCTACACATCACCCTGTAGATGGAAATATGAGATACACTCTCCTATTAGGCATAGTCTCGAAGATTGGGAGCAGAAACGTCCATTACACCATGATTGTCATTTGCGGATTTTTTTCTTTGTCGAAACGGGACCACGTTAACGTTGTGTCCGCAACGCCGCAAATGCCGCAACTGCTGCAGCGACAAAAGAGCGCTAATGGAGGTGACGCACGAATATAAAAACTACAGTAGCCGTGTTTTTATTGTTGTTTTCTAATATACCGGTGCTTGTTGTGCCCCAGTACAACAAAACAAAACAGCTAGCAGCGTTAGCCGGCAGCTATACCCAGCATCGGTCTCAAAGGGCTGCCGTGCCAGCTAGCTAGCCCGGAGCTAATCACGCTAAAGTTAGCATCTGTGGTTGAAGCAACATATTGAGACCTGACTGCGTTATTCTGCTCAATGTAAGTTTGTTTTGGCATAAATATCTACACAGCAGTGTTACCATTAATTCACCACACGTCGCATTTACATTAAAGTGTCTTTTAAAGTTGCAGCTAATGTAATAGGTAGCTTGCAGTCTGGTAGCTTAGATAGCATTAGCTTTCTAACAGTGCACTGTTTATACAGTAGGTCTGTGACTGTAGTGTAGTGCCTGTGGTCTGTGTCACCTGAAACCCCTTTGTCTCTGCAGGAGGGAGTAAAGACTGAGAACGATCACATCAACCTAAAGGTTGCAGGGCAAGATGGGTCGGTGGTCCAGTTCAAAATCAAAAGACACACACCGCTCAGCAAACTAATGAAGGCGTACTGTGAACGACAGGTGAGCTGAAAGCCCAAATAACTGCTTTTACCTTTCCTCCTCTCCAGCAGCATACAATTATTTGGGATTTTCTGTAACACCACAGTCAACCTCCCCATTAGTTGCACACTTCACCTTGTAAGTGATGCATGGATTCATCCTTGTGTCTGTTGTGTTGCTCCTGCAGGGTCTCGCAATAAGGCAGATCAGGTTCAGGTTTGATGGCCAGCCTATCAATGAGACGGATACACCTGCACAGGTAAGATACAATGCTCTGTCCCCCATTATATTCTCTTAAAACCTTAGGGAAATTATTTTTCTACACACTTTAGAGCAGCCTTTCACAATTTGAGGGACGATTATGTAACATAGGCTGCACACTGCAGGCATTCAATGTCTGTCAGGTCTTATATTTCCATCTGTGCATTATTTTACCTGTCCAGTTATTGTTTATATCCACTAACTTGAACCTTCTGCTCCTCTCAGCTGGAGATGGAAGATGAAGACACCATAGATGTTTTCCAGCAGCAGACAGGCGGGCACTGCTAAGCCCTCACCACCTCATCGACGGCCACCTTCAGACCACGCCCTCAGCCACCTTCACTGTCCCTCCCCTCCCCATCGCTCCTCTCAGCCTGTTATTATTATTATTATTAATATTATTATTATTTCTTCAGTTTAAAGATGTCTGTCATGGTTTTCTCGTCAGGTGTGTCGGGGGAGGGGGCTCCTCAGCTGTTTATGTACTGTCTCAGCCAGGATTGAACTTTTGTGCGTGTCAACAGTCACTCCGCCGGCTAATCAGGACAACATTTCCGTCTGGCACCGCAGGCAGTGATTGGACCAACAGCGCGTCACAGCTGTTCCTGGTTTGTCAGTGCTTCTCATTCACTCTCCAGTGAAAGCTTAGTATCCAGTAGTTTGTCACGGTTTTCATCCATCAGGGGTCGAATGCGAAGGCTCTGCAAGTTTTTGTCCGGGGGTCACAGTCAGTTGGGCATGAAAATGTTTTGAAGTGGAAGCACGATCTGAACTTAATACACACCTGCCTTCCATTTCACTTCGCTTTCGTGTTTGTTTGTTTTTTCTTGTCTGAACAGTGACTCCTGTTCTTCTGTCAAAAAAGGTATTTTAATTCTCTCTGCATTTTAGGTGCTTTTGCTAAAGAGTTCTGCAATGTTTTTGTATTTTTTTGAAATTTTTTTTCTTAAGAATTAACACCCAGGGGGCTTGTTGATTTGTTTTTCTGTACAGAAGTATCAGAGTGGATGTTAGATAAAAGTTGTGGGGCTTGGACCAATACTCCAAAGACCGAACTTCTATTTCATATTTGATGTACTTGGATCACTCTAAAACTGCAAGGTCAAAACTGTCACATTTTAAGGGAGTTTGTATTTCATTAATGTTATTTGCTTCCTCTTTGACTTCTACTAATAGAGAGGTTCTCTGTGGGTATGCGTGGTACAGACTATTATTCGCTCATACAGACAAATGCCTGTTCGGGGGAGGGAAATTTAATTCATCCTTTGTTGGAGTTGGTTGGGTTCTGGCTGTGTAAGGGTAGTTTGACGTGGAAGACATAACTTTTGTTTTCTTTCCCTATTTGCGATAAAGTGGCCAGTGGCCTGTCCCTACGGTGTTCTTACAAGCGGCTCTGCTTGTGGGTTTTACATTTTGGGGGGTGAACGTAGAGGGTGGGCTGCGGGTGTGGATAACTGGAAGGTGGTTCCTTAACACTGTTTTGGGATCAGCTGTCTCATCTCTGTATTGTCCTTGCGAGTGTAGGCTGATGGGACAGCTGATTCTAGACATGTGTTGAATTGGAGCAGCTTCCAGTTTGAGCAAAGATGCCCAGTGTGAGTCAGTATGTTTTTGTTAACACAATTTGAAGACACTTTTCACCGCTGTGTCAACTATCGAGCTGTTTTCTCGTGTATAAAGAGCAGGTCATTTGTTCAAAACCCCGACTTCAGTGATGCAAACAGCGGCAGTATGTTAAGTGGTGATGAGTGTCTCCAATATTTAACAGTTCGGAGAAGGATGCATGCAGTTTGTTGCATATCGGGAGGGCAGAGAGGCCAACCAATGGAGTTTGGGAGATAAGTGTTCTGTACCCACAGGGCCCCGTTCTTCATACGCAGAAAACCGAGTTGGCTTGATTTGATTGTCGATGGTCTGACATGAGCTTGGATTTTCAGTTCAGTCTGGATAAAAATGCAAGAGTTGTTGGAGCGCGTAGTCCTCGCGCTCAAAGCCTGTGAAACTGCAAGCTCATTCAGAGTGAGTTGGATCATGACAACACTTTTCAGTTACCTGATTTTAATTACATTTTCAGATGAGGCTTTCCTTTTTTACGAGGCACTATTGGTTCATGTTGTTGTAACTGAACAGGGGAGTAGTCATACAAAACAAAAAATAAAACCAATGCATTAAAAAACACAAAAAACCCTTTAATTTGGCTCAGTATGAACCCCACAGTTATTTTGACAGTTGCAATATTAATTCTTGCATTATACCGTATTTACAGTGATGCAACACAAGCTCCAGTTGCAAGTAATCTTTAAAATGTTTCCATAAGCTTAAGTGTAGTTTTCCCAGCCACATTAGAAAGGTTAATTTTAAACGGTAATTAGTTAACGACATGTTCAGCTCTATATTTGTATGTGTTCTACTTAAAAGTTAATCCCAACAGCTTAACAGTTTTAATTGAATATTTATCACGAGTGTTTGAAAGAGCTTCACTGTACTGCTTTTGCTGTTTGAATTAATACTGTCCTCTCTGGCTCAAATCAGTCTAAAAATAAACTTTATTTAAGGATCCCCAACTCTCATCCTTCCCGCAGTCATTCATCAACAAGCATTAAAACTCTTGAGGATGTGCCTCTGCACAAGCCAAGTCACAAGTAGCGAACCGGTTTTAGCTTTCCTGTTTCACAAAATAAGAGCACAGTTTTCAACACAGCCTTCCACTTGCACTTGAAGAACCGAGATAGCCGGGCAAGGATCTTTTGAGCTGGCTAACATTCGAGCTAAGTCATGTAAATGTATGAAGAACGGGGCCCACGTCTTGTCATGTTATTTGTTTCTCTACTGATTTGTACATTATTTGTGGTCTTTTACTACTGTATACAATAAATATAGTTTGGTACTCAGATTTGCTGTCATGTGCATCATTTTGTATTCAAGAACTAGTTTCCTTACCAGTTGACTCGTCTACAGTGAAGAAAACACTGTCAAAATTGAGCACAATTTAATTTATAAGTTTGAACATTGTCCAAAAACGTTATTCATCTACAACAGTAACTGCAATAAAGTGATGGAAAAAAAGACTAAAAATAACTTGCAGCAATGTCTATCAAGGATTATAAACGACAGTAAAAAGACAAAGTTATTTAACTAGAATAGAGTCTGCCGTAAAGGACAGATACATAGGCTAACGACAGCAACAATAAAACAGTAAAATGTAGAAAATCATGTCAACTAACCAAAGCAGCAACACTGTAGTACAAGCATATCATCAAGCACACACTTGAAACAATCTAACAATACATACCTATCTTATTGAAATACCTCTTGTAATTTGTTACATCTGTTTGGTGCGAAGAAACAAAAAGCTAATTTACCAAGCTTTAAACTAATCTGAGGAGTTTCAAGGGATAACAATTCCTGTGAGTGTGTGGTGAGCGGTGGATTTGATTTTATAAAGACATAAGACCTTTAAAAACAAAATGAGACAATGTTTTACCTACCAAATTGTATTTTAAAGGCCACTGAAATAGGCAAATTGGAGCTCTGCATTGGCTTTTTGCACAGTGCATTATGAACATTGCACATTATCCTACAAAACATGACAACACCTCAGTAAAAAAAAAAAAAATCGATTGAAAATGAAATTCTTAAGGAAAATCTTTAGGAAACCTGCATCAATTAAATCAATGGTAATAACAATGATAACTTTGTTTGTAGAGCATTTTTCAAAGAAAATACAGAGCAAAAGTGATACTAATAAGACACAAGCATATATGTCACTAACATACAGTATACACTCAAACACATATACCTGTAAGGATACATATACACATGGCTGCAAATACACACACTCCCATACACACAGTAAGTCTATCAAGCGTCAGGAAAGGCCAATCTGTAAAAGTAAGGTTTCAGATGAGATTTAAAGACGTGAACAGAGTCAGCTGATCTGATGCTCAGTGCGAGGCTATTCCAAAGCGGAGGAGCAAGAACTGAAAAGGCCTGATCACCCTTTGTCTTTAACCTGGACTCTGGAACAGTTAGAAGACCCAGACTAGAGGACCCAAGGGGCCTGTTTAGATGATATGGTGTGAGAAGCTCAGTTATATACTCCGGTGCCAGATCGTTGAGAGCCTTGTAGGTGATTAAAACTTGAAATGAATTCTATAAGAGACTGGAAACCCCAAAATGGGTGTCAATATGGTAGCAAAATAGCATTGACTAGTTGAATAATTGTGCACATCTCTAATTTAATTGCTATACAGCTATCCCTTGGGATTCTTCTAGGATGCTTAACGGGGTAAAAATTGAATGAGTCTGTCCTCTAAAAACATTGATTCCGTTTTCCAATTCAGTTTTATGTCAAATGTGTAGCTGCAACAGAGAGAGTAATTTGTCATCTTATTTTAGCGGTGACATCACTGTTTCCTGTAGTCTTTTAACAGCCAATCAAAGTGCTGGATGCAAAGTGCTGCACAAAGAAGACAATTGATTTTATAAATTTTTTAAGAAAGGATGGTAAAAAGAGCAGCACCCATCAGTGCCACAGAGTTTATAGCCTGATCCAGCTTGCAATGCCTCTCTGTCTTGTTTATTACTACGACACCTTTGCAAATCTTGCAGATAGAGACTCCTGTACATGTGTGAAGGCACAGCTGAACCTGTGACATTTGGTCATGTGACGTACGGGTCAACCATTTGACCTCACTGCTGCCTGGTATACTGTACATGTATACTGTCACTTTGCAAGACAGGGTTTAAGTTCCCACTGAGGCCCTGTCTGCTAAAAATGTAGCGCTGCGGATGGAAACGCCACGTGTGTCTTGAAGGACATAGACAGCTAGGTGGTGCCAGTGAACTATGATGGTGTCACGTCTGTCTGGTTTGGTTTCAGTCAATGATAAATCAACCTCAAACATCACACATTTGTCCAAATATAAATTAAAAATATCTGAAATGCAGAGACACAAGAAACTACAAAGAGCAAGAAGAGTTCTGTGGAAAATTACAGCATGGCTAGGGAAAAAACAAAAGTTAAAATAACATTTCCGCAGTGGCCCTGAAACATAAACGTATCCAGACTTCCCTCAGAGACAACGGATCACTAATCTTCATGAGGCAGGCTAAATAAAGACATGTCGATATATTTAGTCTGGTCATTATCTCATATAGCGTATTCATTTCCAGATCGTCCTTTATCAGCTGACACTGATTGATTTACAGCCCCAGATCTCATCTCACTCACTGACTGAATGGTCGCATTCAACACAGCTGCAGCAGCGATAAGACCAACAGCAGCAGATGATGACTCAAACCAGGAATAAGGAAAAGCGTGAGCACGAGTGGACAATCATTCACTTTTCTGCATCCAAACACTGAAACTCATACACATGCCGTGCCTGGAAGGAAGAAAGATTAATGAATGGATAGAGGAAGGAGATATCTCGCATCCTGATCTGAGTGTGCAGTCTATGCTCTTAATGTGGAAGAGAAGAAGAGAGACAAAGTGCATTTGCCTTGTAAATGTGCCGGTCGGTGGATGAGAGGATTCAGAGAGATCTGACACAGGCTGAGATGCCGACGTCTTTCAAAACAGGCTGTTTTTTTTACACGAGAGCTCAACAAACCAGGGTCAAACAGATTTTGTAGTATCAAAAGGAAATATTTACAAGTCAAATTTCCTGTGATTCACCCAATTCAACCAGGTTAAATTATGCCAGAAAAGTATTTGCATATTTTATGTGACCCATGCTCCACTGTTGCAGTACTCAAGATCAGTCTCAAGACATCTTTTAGGAGGTCTCGACTGCATGTCTATTTGTCTCGTATCGGTCTGAGGCAAAAAGGAGTCAGAATGATATGTCAAGACCAGTCAATAAGACCACAGCCATGGGAAACTGCCTGGACAAAAAAGAGTGTTGAACAGATGGTTAAGTTGATTTGCACTGCCTTTTGATTTTTAGAAGACATTTCTCATGGCTCACTGATACACGCACACACACACACACACATATATATACAATATATACAATATGGCATTAAAAGAGGCAAATGAAGTGGAAGACTCTGGAAATCAACTGAGGGAGACCCTCATTTTCAATGATGCCAAGCATGAACAAAGACATTAAAACAATCACTACGCAAACAAAGAACCATCATACGTATCAGTGAAATCACACAAAACAACAAACAACAATCGCAATAAATGATCGCTAAAAGTAGAAAGACAGGATGACGAACATGCTAAAGTGTAGATGTATAGTTAAAAGCATCAAGCAAGATCAGAAATAAGGCATTTAAACAGCCATAAAGGTGGCAGAGTGTCCAGGTTTAAGGTCTTTTGCAGATTATTCCATGGATAAGGAGCACTGTAAGAGAATGACATTTGTCCTAGTTAAGGGAGTGTGAAGCTACAACCTATTCTGTGATAGGTTATTATATAAATGTGGATGTTTCAGATCAATTTTAAGATTGTCTATAGTTTGCAAGGGTGTAATTTCAACATTGGTAGGGACACATTTTAGGTGTGGGGTCTGGGGGTCCTTCCCTAAGACATTTTGAGTGTCAAACACTTTATTTCCTGCATTCTGGGGAACTTTATGCACCAGTTTATGGTAGAAATGTGTTTATTTATATAAAGGAAATCACAAACTCCAGGTGACAGGTGACAAAATACAAAATATAATAGAATGAAATGGAGTAAGGCTCTCAAGAATTTTGTGTAGCTTTCAAATATTTGATACATGAGTTCATTTTAAAGATACAAAATGACTGGCCAGCTCAGTACAGTGCAGGCAGGCAGTACAAAAATGCATCCAAGGCACTTTGACTGGAGCTGAAATTTTTTTATTAATACAGAGATAACCAAAGTGTTTCAACTAGAGAGTCTTCATCAGAGTGTTTTACCGGCCAGTCCTTTTTTATCCTTAAGTGGCATCCTTGAAGAGCACCTGATTCATTAACAACTAACCACACAGGGCCTTAACCCAGTGCAGCACTCCCCATGTTTCCCTCATGAATTCATTTTAATTCATTTTAAAACGACTAAAATTTAAAGGTCATATGTATTTCAGCAAGATTTCTGCTCACTTTCAAAAGTTGATGCACATTCAGAACATATCTAACTGTTCTCTGAGAGGTCAAAAATAAAGTTGAAGCGGAAATAAAGTGGAAACATTATGAGAATAAAGTCCTAATGTAATGAGAATGGAGTCGAAATGTTTCAGGAGTAGAGCCTGCTGCTGTATTACATTATAGCTCTGCTGGTTTCGTATCCTTCTAGACCATCTGATAGACATGTCTGGATGAGACAAAGTTTAAGGGACTCTGCACTGCTCTTCATCGAAGCTTCAATACCTAAACTTCCTGAAAACACTTCTGATGAGGCCAGAATTGAAAAATAATATGCACTATCCCTTACTGAATCAATACACGATGTGATTTGTCCTGTATCCTCTTGCAAAGAAGTGTTAGAATGAGAATAATGGGAACAGGTTTGCTCAAATGATTGGGACAATTCTGTCCTTCTAAAAATAATGGCAGGGTCATGTCCTTAGCATTCATATGCAAACCTCCACCCTTGATGGTTTGCATGTTCCATGTTTTATGATCATGCAGTCTGGGACTGATCTGGTTTTAGTCTTGACTCAGTCTCAACCCCTCAAACTCTTGGTCTTGTCTCGGTCTTGTACCACAGTCGGTACACTGAGTTGCTTAATTTCACTGCCCTGAGACTTCATTACACTTTCAACGAGTAATATTTGCAGCTCTTTTAGGAAAACATCCTGTTTTGAGACTTTAATATCACAGCTGGGTTCATGCACATGCCTTAGTTTGTCAGGTAATAAACTGCAGCTCATATCCATCCATCCATCAGTGGACCAAAGGTCACATGTGTTCTGTTGTTGTTTTTTAGGTTTCCTTTTAATTACATTTTCTTTTCTAGGGCTTCTTTAATGTAGCAAATGTCTGTAGGAATAAGTCTTTTGATAGAAACGTTCTATACCACATTAAAATACTCCGCTTGTCTGCCAGTCAGCCAGTGTGTGTGTTGTATGTGAGCATGCACACACACAGTGGAGCAGCTCACCCCTCTGGCAGGTCTGTGTCATCAGAGGGAGGATGAATGACAGGCTGGTTAGTGATTTGCATGGCTGTGGTGTTTAAAAGGAGCTGCAGGTGCAGGATTCTCCGCACAGATGAATGGACTCTTGAAGCACAGATGCTCTGGGACTCTCCATCTGTGAATGTTAGGTAGCCAGAGCAGCCTTTGATGGTTTTAAAAAGTTTGTTGGCTAGACGTGCTTCTCTGAGAATGCTCCTTTGGATCAATATGAAGAACGCACAGTCTCCTGGTGTGTGTTGTCACCTCTGATAGAGACAAAAGGAGCAATACATAGAGAGATATCTTTAAAATGGAGACATTCGCACCAGCTGGCAACTGAACCAAACAGGCTTTCTGTGATGACATCGCTCATATTCGTGCACTTCCTTCTCCTGGGGTTAAGGGTCATCGACACCACCGCAGGCACATGGAGACGCTGCACAGGTAAGGCACTACTTTTATTCCGTTTTACCTCAGCTTTACTCTCCATTACCTCAGCTCACTTCACCACATCTGATGTTCAGTTAATGATTATTCAGCGGATGGTTTAGGGTTTCACCTGAAAACCTGGGAAACCCCTCCAGCTAAAATTCTTTTGGCTAATTCCAACTGTCTGCGTCTGCTTACAGTACAGTGGGAGTGTTTGTGTCTGCAGTATTGCGTGCAATATTAACTTAAATTAACTTCCACAAACAAGTACAGACATCTGTTGGGATTCCACAACAATTCTGTACACATCAGAATATGAGGACGAACAGGGTGCATGTTTATTTGATGTCTCATCAATTCAGGGCAATTCTCTTCTATTATTCCCGCTTTTCAAAGAACGCCTTTCTTAATAACTACCCCTCCTAAAAGCTCCTATAGCTCTGCCGCCACCCAGGGCTATTTCTCACACACTAGGGGGGTCAGGACTCTGGTGTGCTGTGACATTAAATGATTTATTAGTTTATAGCGGGTGTTCCAAACCTGTTTAACACGAGTCCTCATAAAACAAAGCTACTGTGTGCGTGCTTGTGCCTCATATGGAGTATATTAACTAATGAGCGGAGGTGAAAGAGGTTCCTTTACTACTACTTTGTAAAAGTCCTGCATTGACAGTGTTAATTATAATCAGGAAAATGTACTTAAAGTATTAAAAGTAAACATACTCCATCTCCTGTGACTGTTTTACAACTATAGCTTTGTTATGTCTTTAGATTACTATGTGTAAGTAGCATTTTACTCGTGTTTTTGGGTGGAGCTCATTTTTAACTTTGGCAGCTAATGTTCATTGGCATAGATTTCAGGGGGGACACAGGGGACACCTCCCCCTCATTATTTAGAGCATGTTAGTAGCAGAGGACTTTTATTTTGACAAAATTAAAGACATTTATATCATAAATTGATGGAGAAAAGGCACATATTGGTGCATAAGACTTCCTCAGAAATTTTGTGGTAGAGGACCAACCTGGTCTCACTTTGAGGGCTTTGAAATCTGGGCATTAGGCAATGACTTGCAGTGTCATACCCTATAGCTTTCATGGTGCCAAAGACCATATCCCCAACCCGGTCTCACTCAGAAGTTGTCAAAATCTGGTGCTTGGGCAGTGACTTGCGGCATCAGACAGTGACGAAAAAGCTGTCCTTTAATGTTGGCATTATACGCTGCCAGTCACCGTTATAGTTAAATGGTGCTCGGCGATGTCAGGAGGAAACGGGGCAAGACACAAAAAGAAAGTTAAGGTGACAAAGTTTGAGTAGGGAGGGTCAGAGTGGTGGTGGAAAGGTCTGACAAAGACCGACCGTCACCTGGGAGAGCAGTGTTTGCATCTCGTAAGATTATAAAGCCAAACCCTGTTCTTTTTTCCTAAACCCAACCGCATGCTTTTGTTGTTGAGGTCAATTTGTGGTGTTGTACTGACATAGTGCTTTTATTTTGAAAGAGACTGTATGTAAACGTTGAATAACCTGTGAAAACGGAAGTGTACTTTGAGAGAAGACAATGCATGTAACAGGCAGAACTTGACACGGTGTCTCAGAACATCAACAACCAACACACCCAGGGTACCTTTCACATCATATCTGGATGTGGAAAGTCCATGACCAAACGTTGTAACAGCAAACTGTAAAGTTTCAAGAGCTGGAACCATAAAATGTTCAGCATTTTTGTATGAAAAATAATCAAAATAGTCGGCAAGTTATTTTCTGTCAATCCACCAGTCGTTCCAGCCCTACTTGTATACAGTGTTGGGTAATTTCATTTATAACACAGCATCATATTTTTCAAATTTGTCATATGTTTTATCAACAAAAATCTTAATATTCAATTTTTAAGTGACAAGTAACTAAAGCTATTTAATAATAGTAGTGGAATAAAAGTAATACATCCCACTAAAATGTAACAGAGTGAAAATATGACAAGAAAATACTCAAATAAAGCGCAAGTACATCAAAATTGAACTTAAGTGCAATACTTGAGTAAATGCACATACTAACATTTCACCACTGCTTTTCTCCTCTCCAGGTGTTTAATTTGAATCATTAATGGAATCCTGTGGAAAAGTCTGAAAAATCATAATTTGGGAAGCAGATAATCATTTTGATTATTTGTTATCCCATTATTATTTCAGAGTCCCTCAGATTCATTTTGCAACCTCTTCAGGGAGTTTGGACCCCGAGCTTAGGACCAACTGGTTAATAGTATAGAAAATTCCGCATAAAAAGATTGAAGCAGTAAAACAACCTTCCTGACCTCTTTATTTTGTTACTGTCTGCAGATTTGCTCCCTCTGGATCTTCTGTCTTTTGTCCTGGAGAGGGACACCTCCAAACTCGTTCCAGGGGTGCACATGAAGCAGGCTGGAGGGGTGAGGGGTGTGCAGTTATCAAGCCCTCATACCTCCATGAGCTTTCTCTCCTCCCAGGTGCTGGCGAACTGCGAACTTTTGCCCACAGAATTCTCCATCGTTGTGACGCTGAAAGTCGGTCACATTGCATCCAAGGTGAGCATCCATGAGTGGTGGATGAAGAACTTACATTCTTTAAGTGAAAATACCCATAACACAATGAGAAAATACTCCTTATGAATAAAAGTGCTGCATTCAAAATGGTACTTAAAGGTCCAGTGTGTAGGATTTAGGGGGATTTAGTGGCATCTAGTGGTGAAGATTGCAGATTGCAACCATCTTAAACTTCTCCCAGTTAGAATTCCTTCAGTGTTTATTGCTCAGGAGGTTTTTTACTTTGAGCTGGATTTTCCACAGATGTCTTTTCCTCTCCAAAACAAACAACTGGGTGGTTATATTCAGTAAAACACTGAATAGTTGACGTTCACTTTTTTCGATGCTGCTCAATGCAAAGGGGCTGCCAACTGTCGTGGCAAACATGAAAGTACGAAAGGCCCTATCTAGAGCCAGTGTTTGGTTTGTCCAGCGGTGCAACATGGCGATCTCTGTGGACAAGGACAAGAAAACATACTTATATTTAATTTCTGTGAATGTGCTTTGTTACTTGTCAATCCTGCCAAAACAGTGTCTGAGTGTATTTCCTGTTTGCCTTTCAGAGAAATGAATACATCTTTTCCTTGATGGAGCCAAAAAATGCAGATAAAAGAGGAGCGGGGCAGAAGGAGGAAGAGGAGATCATTAAAAGGGACATTTTGGAAAGGAATAAAGAAGAAGAGCAACATGAAGAGAGGGGGAAGGAGAGGCGAGTCCAGAGTACTGACGAACGTGGACGGGTCATCCTGGGAATGAGGCTCTCGAGAAAACGTCTGCATTTCTTTTTGAAAAGTCACGGAGGGGTCGTAGAGCATTGGGGGTTTCAAGGCGCTCGGCTAGCTGACAACCAGTGGCACACTCTGGTTTTAGTTGTTGCCAGTCATCGTGTGAAGCTCACAGTGGACTGCAGCTCACCCCAGGAAATGTAAGTGTTTTTTTCTTGCTTCGCTCTGTTCTCTGTTCATGGGGTGGGTGCACTGTCTGCCTCCCACCATCCTCTCTTCCTGTTGCCTCTGAATTCCCTTGAGGGATAGTAGATCCTTCACCACAATACAATGGCAGTGCTCCAAATCTGCTCACACCCCGCAGCCATATCACAGTGGCCTGACAGTGTGTGATAGATGTTTTTTAGTGGAAACTCCCTCTGGCACACAGAAGGGAGGAATATCAGCTCCCATACGGTGCCTATATGATACTAGTCCTGTCTACAAACACAAGAATGAGAAGACTTTTTTAATTATAGTGACTTTAAGATCATTTATAGAAGGAAAACAACTTAGCTCAGCTATTAGAAATAATTATGTTTCTCTATGGCAAACAGAATTCCCTCCAGGCCTTTACCCTCAGACCTCAACATTGAGGGATCGAGATTCCACATTGGCAGTCGGGGGAGATGGAAAGGCTTGTATTCAGTAAGATTTCCTCATTACTAACTTTCATGAGAAATAAGCTGCTAAAATACACAATTAATACATTTTTCCTTCATATCTGCTGCCTCGTGCAGGGTCTGTTGCGACAGCTGGTTTTGGTGCCAGGTTCAGATGCTACCCATTATGTCTGCCCCTCCTCAGACCCCCAGCTAGCAGCTCTGTCAGTACCACCACTTCTCTCAGACTTATCTGTCACAGGAAGGGAGGACGGCAACCATGTGACTTCCTATGGTAACTTCCAGACGGATTCTACAAGACATATGATACAATATGATGAAAGACATGACATGTTTTCATGCTTCTTTGCCTCTTTGATTATCTGCTTGTCTCTGTGATCAGAAACAGAGCGGGTGTCAGTGGGACTGGAGCAGTCGTGCTCAGAGTTGCAGCAGGGCCAGATGTGGTTCAATCCGCACAGGAAAGGCCTCTACCTCTGCGACGGTACAGTGTGGATCACTGTGTTAGAGGGTGAGAATCCAACATCCAACCATCAGCTCATGAGCATGTTTTGACTCAGCTGAAAATGTACATAATTCTAATCTCTGCATCTGCTCAGATCATAAACGACTGGACTATGTGGTGGAGCATCAAGTCCTCACCACCAGCTCAGAGACACATGATGTAGAGGTATCCTTCCATTTTGTAAAAAAAATATATATATGTTGTGCCTATACTAGGACTCGTTAGAAAACCAAGGGCTAGAGAGAAGAGAAAAAAATTCTTTAGGGGAGTTTTGTGTTTTTTTCAGGACCAGGTTTTCAGAACCAGGGTGTCAGGGATCCCACAAGGGGTCACGAGATAGATCTATGGGGTCACAAGATGAATACAACAAAATGGATGGTAAATGGACTCACATTTGAGTAGCATCTTCTCCGACCACTCAAAGTGAATTGCCGAACTTGCCGAACGAAAATTATGTTTATTTTCCAGACTTTTCTCTAATTTTGAAATGATTTTTAAAAAGGCTGTGAATCAAGGTTCTAGACAGAACTTGTGTTTCGTCAGCGATTCTAATTCAATACAGTTTTTGTCAAATTCAGTGAATAGTTCCTCACGGTCCACTAGCTGTCCATTCTGTGTGCGCATTAAAAAATTCATTGTTCATACATAGCTCTGCTCTGTAAATGGGAAACAAAGTGGCTCCACTCCCAGGTTGTCAAATACCAACACTTTGTCATGCCCCTCAGCATGTGATACTGACACCAAAGGCACCCTTTAGCATCCATGAGATGTTCTGGGCTTTCAGCTAACTCCAATGTAAACCCATCTGTTGCAATATCTGATGCTCAGAGCAACTGATATAATATATAAAGTGAGAAAGTCTGTGTAGCGCAGGCAGGAGGGCAGATGGATAGGTCAAACAAATGCAGACTTTCACCCAGGACACTGCTGTTTGTGTCCTGTGTGAAACCAAAAGCCATGTGACAGATTTACATCACGTTATGTACATAGATTGACCCAAAACATGATGTTTTGTCAAAACCTAACCAAGTGGTTTTATTGCCTAATCCTAATTGTGACCATTTGACAACCTTAGCCACGTTATGAGTTTCACCCAGGAGACAGTTGTGTGTCACATACAGAAATTATAGGATGTGTCGCATGAAGACACATCACACACACCTGAGACACCTGAAAGCGGCAGTATTTGGAACATGTTGATGGCTCTGACCAAGCCACACAACTCTATTCCAGCCAGTCAGCGACAGGGGGCATTCATGCTTATGTACAGGACAGGGAAAAGGCCATGGATGTATAAAGAGAAGGGCAGTGAGAGTGAGAGGGACAGTAAATCTGTACTGAACTTTGTGCGGAATATCAGTCTTTCTCCAGAACAGCTGATTCAACCTTTAAGGCTGTACAAAATGTTCAGAATACTTTTTTCATCTTTTTTTTTTTAATCCAATCTTTAGGTGTTCCAGGTACCTGGCATGGGTCTGATGGCTGCTATGGCTCATCGGTCAGCCTCTGGCTCCGCTGTATATCTGTGGGGTCGCACAGGTTTCCAGCTCTACCAGAATATCAGCACATATGAAGCTTTGGCTTGGAGACACTTCAGCATGGGCAAGAAGGTATGACAAAAAGGAAGAGATGGGTTATGTAATATAAATCAAGCACTTGCATCCACCTGGTCAAAGTAGTGTAGAGAACTGATATTTCCAGGATTTTGTTACTCTAATCTGGATATTCCTGTTCTCTCTTAACTCTGATCTAGACATTTCTGGTGGTGTCTAACTCTGGAGGGGGGACAGACAAGCGTAAACACTCAGAGACTGACATATCTGTGATTTATAAGTGGAGCAAAAGAAGGAAACGGTTTGTGCGGTTCCAGACTCTGCAGACTCTCTGTGCCCGGGACTGGGAGGCCTTTAACATCAATCGGCAAACCTATCTTGCTGTGGCCAATCACAGACAAGGTAAAAACTGAATAACTATCAAATGACTACTTTTAACTTCCAGAAATCCTGACATGACATTCACAAACTCTACTACTCTCTGTCTTTTCTGGTTTGTCTTTCAGGTGATAATAACCACACTATCAACAGTGTGATATACAAATGGAACAAGTTGACAAAGTCTTTTGAGGTTCACCAAATGCTGCTGACCTCAGGAGCCTATGACTGGGAGTTCTTCACAGTTGGACCGTACCATTTCCTGGTGGTCGCAAATGCCTTTGATGGAGTAACCACTTCTGTGGACTCAGTCATTTACGTTTGGGTCAGTGGAAGCTTCCAAGTGTTTCAGACAATTAAGGTGAGTGGTGAACACGAAACAGCAAAAGAAATGCAGAATTGGCCTTCAAGGTCTAGTGTGTAGGATTTAATGGCATCTAGTGGTGAGGCTGCAGAACTGAAACTTGTCCTGTTTGCCAAGCTTGTAGGAGAACTACAGTGGCCAATGCAAAGATGTGAATTATCTTAACTAAAGCCAGTGTTGATTCCTAGGATAGTAAAGGAATGTCCTGCCCTACTGTCCCTATGATTGGCTAGTACTCATTGTCTTCATTGGTTAGGCTTAGCCAAAATGATTAAGACTGGCTAGGGCTAGGGTAAGTCAGATTAAGCCGATCAGAGGCAGAGTAAGGCGGGCCATTCCTTTGCTATCCTAGGAATTGTGAATTTGCAGCCCCCAAGGAGGTTAAAAGAGGAGAAGTCATGGCGTCATATCACGTCATATAACTGGAGTACACCATGTGCACAATGAAATCTGGTCTGCAGCTGCTAAAGGCTTAATAGCTGGCACGCTTTCATAGATCATTGGGATGATTGATTTGATTCACTGAGGCGTCCAGATTTGGCCTTGAGTCGAAATATATTTTATACACAAAATAAAGACGTGGGTGAGAATTACAATTCTGAGAATTTGAAAAAGATCATTAATAAAGCCTAAAACAAATGCTTTCTATGTCAATAAATGTTGTATTGTTTATCAGCAGCCATCTATTGGAGTGTACCCAAAAAGTTCTGTGAGGCTGAGGGCACCCAAAAAGGCTAAAAGGAGTGCACCCAAAGAGCACTATAACTTTATGTCTTCATGTCTACATTGCGCATGTGTCATACCTTGTAGCTTCCATGATGCCAAAGACTGTGTCCCCAACCCGTTCTCACTCTGAAGTCGTCGAAATCCATCACTTGGGCAGAGACCTCCAGTGTCAGACACTGATAAAAAAAAGCTGTCCTCTCATGTTGGCATGATACTGTACATGGATGTTCGTCGTTATAGTTTAACAGCACTTGGTGGCGTCAGGGGGAAACGAACAGGACAAGAGTGAAAGTTAAGGTGGCGACCTTCAGAGTGCGTAAGACTGCTGTAAATGTTTAATTTCCTTTGAAAACAGAAGTGTATTTTGAAAGAAGACAGGGCATGTAACAGGCATAACTTAACATGGTGTCCCAGAATGTCAAAAACCAACACACCCAGGGTACCTTTCATGTTGTATCTGCACGTGGAAGATCTGTGACCAAACGTCGATAGGTGACGAGGTCTAAATAGCCTTGCTGGACCCCAAGAGGTGCGCTGGGCTTTGAAGCCAATTCTTGTATTGGCCAAACAGTGGATTTACAACTTCCAGATCTGTCACATGTTGCCACAGGCCCCAGAAATGTAAATAGATGTGTAAATCACACGATGCATTTTTTGAGTGTCACAACCCCTCAAGAAATGACTTGTTTCACTATTAGGGATTTGAAACATTTGGGATTCAGTCCAAACATTTCGTAAGTCTAGGAGAGCCATATGATTACTCCCATTCAAGTTAGCTGACGGCTAAACCAGAAGTTAGCTGCTTGGCTTGCGAAAGTCTGTAGTGATGCGGAAGATCTGAGTAACTTAACACCCTCAAAGTTGAACTTTTTTGGCTTCATGTCCCACTGAGCAGCTTCCATAATACTGACAGGGGCCCCACCTCCAATGCTGTATCTTGATCTCTTTATAAATTCATAGAGAGGGCCTGCTCTGTATATGGATATAAACAGCTCATTCTTAAGTACCAAAAACACAACAACCCTTCTTTTCAGGTGATTATACACTAATGAAAAACTAGTTATATGTTATATGCCATTCCTACAAATAGATGCTTCTAAGTCCTGCACACTGAGGAATATCTGTTTGATACTACACCACAATACTGGGCAAATTTGGAAGGTGTTTGAGCGTGGATGTAAATTAGGCTTAATAGCACTTTTAGGTAGCATTTTGCTGCATGATTTTCCACGCCATTCATCTCCTCTCCAGCTGTGCTTTGATTTCCTCTGATGAGATCTGTATCTTTGAGTATGAAAAACCATCTTGTCTGTACACACTGAAGGAAGGGAACACGGGGAGAGATAAAAGGGTAATGAAAGAGAGAGATGGGGAGCAAGGAACGGGTGTGTCCGTGCATTTAAGACAAGGCCAGAAATAGAGCGTGCGGTTTGCCTCGATTTGCTCGAGAGATAGCAGTGCTTTGACATGTAACTGATAGTGAATCGTATATTTGAATCTAGCCACATTTGAGGAGAGTGTTGACACATTGATAGTCACATAAGGGGATGATTTAGGGGAACTCCACAGCTGGATATGAGGAAGAACACCTTGGGGCAGGTGGAAATTAATCATGTAAAATCATCCAGAAATGAGTGAAAATATACAGTTTTGGCATTTGTTAACATGTGTTACTTTCTTAGCGATCTCTCTTTTCGCTTTTCTGTCTCCAAACAACAGTCAAAGAAGAACTCAGATCTTTAACTCAAGTAAAAACACTGGTTTGTTTTTTATCTCATTGTCAATCTAGACGTTCTGCGCCACAGACTGGGAAATGTTTCAGATTGGCAGCAGAGTTTTCCTCGTCGTTGCCAATGGACACAGACTCCATGGTAACGGACCGAGTCGATACGCCATCAACTCCACTATCTACGAGCTGGACATGATTGGACGGCTGTTCGTCCGCTTCCAGGATATTGTCACCTACAGGTACAGATGTGTAAACACTCCAGTACACCAGGTGCATGTATATGAAGACAGACTGTCAGAACACTTCCTGTGTAACGTGTCTGCTGCCATTTCAACCTCTCCTCATCGCCACATACCTTTCTGTCTCTCCAGTGCGGTGGACTGGGAGTTCTTCACCCTCGGGGAGGAATATTTTCTGGTTGTCGCTAACTCCTTTAACGGAGAGTCCTACTCTCTCAACAGCATTCTCTACAGGTACTCAACGTGTCAGCAACACCCCTCCCAGTGTAAAATAATTCAACCATTCTGACTTTCCTCTTACTCTCTAACGTTGTAATGTAGATTTATGGGGGTATACAGCTTTTGTTAAGCAGGTGCAAATACATATTTCATTTGATTCCTCTCCTCTGTGTGTTTTCAGGTGGCAGGGATATGAAGGATTTGTTCCTGTTCATTGGCTCCCAACCATTGGGTGCAGTGACTGGGAGTTTTTCAGCTCTAAAGGAGAATCGTATCTGATCTATTCTAGTGCCAAAGCACCTCTTTCCAAAGTGTTCAAGCTGAAAACCTACTAGGCCAAAAAAAGAGAGTGTGCATGTAGCTTTGTGTACTGTATTCATGTTTGTGTACATGTTGTCCTATTTTTGTAAGTATCTGTGTGCTCCTGTGTGAGAAAATCTTTGCAATACTATTTGAAATGTGTGAGTGAGTTTAAAGGTATACTATGCAGGATTGTTGGTTGTGCAACATGTTCGCCAGCAGAAGTGAAAGGAAAAGCCAGTCCCAGGTTCACTCTCGCTTGGTGTTTCGATTCAAACAGTAAAGTTGCAGCCAAAAACCTTAACTCATTTATTTATTTAATTTAATTTAATATCTTAAGTTTGTTGAACTTGTTTTCTCAAGTTCAGGGAACTTAACTCAACTCAAAGTACATTCTCACAACTCATGAGCCGATCTATAGGTGTACTATGCTTGCCAGCGAAAGTAAAAGTAATAGCCACACTGAGGATGCAGGAAATTTAGGGTTTGATGCTCAAAATTCCTTGGGGGTGGACCCCAAACCCCATTTCATATGTGAGTCTATACACTGTTTCTTTGGAAAATCCTGCATAGTATATCTTAAAGTAAATATGCCTTTACAATACTGTGCCTCAATTTACATAGTACAGTCAGGACTGTAGGAACCATTAAGGTCATGACCTTAATATTGTTTCTAAAAAATTGTCTGTTTAATAGCCTGCAGAGGATTTTACATTCAACAGAAATTGCACATGGTGGCTTTTGAAGAATGATTTTGGTATTTCTTGGAGTAATTATCTTTAAATATGACAGCTTTCTGCAAGAATTATTAGATTAAATTGATATATGATAAAACGATGTAGCATTTCTTCACAATAATAACGTCCTAGATTATCCTAAGGTTTTGAAACTGGTGCAGATGACTAAATACATGACTGAAGAAAATGAGAAAAAAAAGTAAAGTAAAAAGAAAATTCCAGAGATTTTTTTCACAAATGCCCTGAAGTCCTAAAGGTTGTGGCTAGGATAATTTGGTATAATATTATATAATATTATAATATAAGCATGAACGTAGCAGAAGACCTTTATTTTAACAAAATTAAAGACATTTACAAAATAAGTTGATGCAGAAAATGCACAAATTGATGCATCAGCATTCACCAGAATGCCTTAAATTAAGTGTGTGGTGCTTAAAATTTCCCCATTTCAAATGTGTCTCCCCCGATGTTGAAACAAACCTACACTCTGGACCTGTACCTCATTTCAACAAAACTATCACAAGCACAATATTTTAATGGTAATATATAGATACTTGTTTGCATTGTTTGACAGAAATTAAAAACTCTAGACAGTCTCCGTAAGATGTTCATGATATTTAACATTTTGTTCAGTAACTGGAATGTGTGTTCTCATAAACAATGGACTGATTGTTACTCGTTGCCTCTGACTGCATGAATTATACGTAACAAGTGACAGTAAATTATTGAAATTACAATAAACCAGACTTAATATGTTTATATGCAATGCATGAGTTGTTTATGAGTTGGCTAAACCTCAGCTATGTTCATTTAGAGCTTGTGGGGCGGCAACAAGGGTGGCAAACATATTTCTAAGGTGGCGAACATACCCTGCAGGATCAAAAGTACACAAGTTTTCATTCCAAGTCATTTTGTGGCTAATTAAAATTCTGGTGAGGTCTTTGACTGGTATGCAAACTTATACACATGGCCCTGGGCACATAACTTCCAACCACTATACATCTCCATGCTTTAAACACTAATAAAACACGTTTGTTATAAAAGACTACAATCCCCATATCTTCAAGACAAGACTTGCCGGAAATGTAGTTTTTATGGCTGCTCTGAAAAGAAAATGTAGATATAATCATAAATGTTATGGCTGTATCATAAAGTGACATCAAATTACTGGAATTAAGATGTTCATGCGTATTGGCGAAGTTATGAAAATATAATCAGTTATATTCATTGTGAGTATGTTCGTTAGCTAAGTGTGACACTACAAGTACCACAATGCACCGCTCCATTTTCAGCCAGAAAGAAACATGGCTGCCCACTGTTCACCGACGGTATTTTTATTTACGTTTCGTTTATTCGTTTTAAGACAGACAGAGGAAGAAAGAAAGAGCGTCAGGAGCAACACCGTGAATTAATTCAGTTAAACGAGTCGTTAGAGATTCGGTGAGAATACGCCATTTTGTCCAGTTGTAGTAACAGTTACCGTTAACGTTACTGACAGCCTGATTTTTTTCTCCCCACTTTCGCTGAGCTGTCATACTGCTCATCGGTGTCGGACCGTTTGCCTTTGTTAGCGTGCTAAACTAGCTAAACAACCTTTCAGCGAGGCCAACGCTTACATGCTACATCCGGTAATAGTCGCTATGTTTAGCCCCGTGAAGTCTTCTTATTTCAGAGTGAGCCCGGCCATTGTCAACAGAGAACTCGGCAAGACCAAGATGAGATAGCAAGAGGGCATATCACAGTGCTAACACACGATTTACCACGAGAGCCCGAGCATAACGCAGAGAAAACGGAGTGAATCACTCAAACGGCATGTTTGGGAATCTATTCGAGGAGGAGGAGGAGGAAGGCTTCTCTTCCACCTCCTCCAGAGGCAGAGTTGGGAAGGGGGGAGACGAGCCACCTCCACCCCGAGGAAGAAGCAATCTGTGCGGCATAAAGAACCAGGGTGGCACCTGCTACCTCAACTCTCTGCTCCAGACCCTGCTGTTCACCCCAGAGTTCAGAGGTGAGGACAGATTATTTCTTTTAGAGTCATGGGATGAGATTGAGTGCAGCAGACAACCAGAGAGCAGTTATTTATTTATTTATGTTTACATATTCATTGTTTGGTGTGTATCTGTACAGAGGAGCTATTCAAGTTGGGAGCAGAGGAATTAGGATGTCTGGAAGACAAAGAGAAACCAGGGGCCAAAGTAAGTGATATAAAGTGCCTATTGCTTGCTTTAACCATAAATGAAATGTCTGTATTTTGAATTGTAATGGGTGTCTACAGGTCCATAAAGAGTCCTAAAATGTCTTAAATTAAGTTTTCTTAATATGAGGCTTTAAAAAGTCTCAAATCCAGACTCATCAGACCAGGCAACATTTTTCCAACCATCTATTGTCCAGTTTTGGTGAGCCTGTGTGAACTGTAGCCTCAGTTTCCTGTTGTTAGCAGACAGGAGTGGCACCTGGTGTGGTCTTCTGCTGCTGTAGCCCATCTGCTTTAAGGTTGGACGTGTTGTTGGTTCAGCCATGGTCTTCTGCAGACCTTGGTTGTAACAAGTGGTTATTTGAGTCGCTTTTCTAACATCTTGAACCAGTCTGGCCATTCTCCTCTGACCTCTGGCATCAACATGGTATTTTCACCCAGAGAACTGCCGCTCTTTCAGACCATCCTCTGTAAACCCTAGAGATGGTTGTGTGAAAATCCCAGTAGATCAGCAGTTTTTGACAGACCAGCCTGTCTGGCACCAACAACCATGCCACCTTCAAAGTCTTAAATCACCTTTCTTCCCCATTCTGATGCTCAGTTTGAACTTCAGCAGGTTGTCTAGACCATGTCTACATGCCTAAATGCACTGTGTTGCTGCCATGTGACTAGCTAATTAGCTATTTGCATTAACAAACAGTTGAACAGGTGTACCTAATAAAATGGCTGGGAAGTGTATATATATAATGTGTATTCCCATTGCAGGTTTGGTCTTAAATTTCATATAAGGTGGTATTAAAAATGTCTTTAAAAGTCTTACATTTAACTTATATCTAAGGAGGTTTTCCTTTGTTCTCCTCAGGTCAGAGTGATCCCACTGGAGCTGCAGAGACTGTTTGCCAGTCTGCTGCTGGTGGACCAGCAGAGCGCCTCCACCGCTGACCTCACTGACAGCTTTGGCTGGAACAGCAGTGAGGTATGTGTCCATTATCTTTGTCAGTGGGAGGGAGAAAGAGAGGCTCAGGTTACACTTGGATTTACCTTCCAGTCATACCAGGAATTGCATGCTGAAATGCACAAAAGTGGATTTCACATTATTGGCAGGTCAGGCCTGATTTCACTTACATTTTGTCTGGAGGCATCCCAGCTGCAGTCATGCAAAACAAATTCACAAAAAGGGGAAAACAGGAAGAAGCATTCACAGATTTACACAGGCCATGCATGACCACATTTTCCAGGTCAAGACTGCATATACAGTGATGTGATTAGATGTGAACCAGAGCTTTAAAACCAATCAAAATGTAGAGTATGATCTCAGCCCGGCGGGTGGGAGTGACCAGTGGTGTAGCTGAGGGTATATGCAGGTTTATGGGTGTACCTACTTCTTTTTCTGTCCGTTTACAGTATACAGTATTGTATATCAGACAAAAAGCCATCAGAATATATAGGAGAGTGCACCCACTTCCTTCTTGGAAACCTACCCATCAACTTAGTAGTACACCCACCACATCAGCTACCGCTACACCACAGGAAGCTGCTTCTAGCTAGAGAAGAAAAGTGGAGAACCATTTTGCATTTTCAGTCAAGTTTTATTGATGTCTATTGGTGCAAGTCTTGCATAACTTCCTGTTTGTATTTAAGGGTGAAGTGCATTGATTTCTTCAATGATAACACACCGACAACATACCATTACACGTCTAATACAGTATGCACTGTATACAGTTAGTTCATAGTGTGGAACTGGGGCACAACAGATGTCTTTTGTTTGTAATTTGATCCCTTTTCTGTGTGTTCTTCTCTCAGGGAACAAACCAGCATGATGTGCAGGAGCTGAACAGGATCCTGTTCAGTGCCCTGGAGCACTCTCTTGTGGGCACCAGTGGTAGTACATTTATCCACCAACTGTACCATGGGACCATTGTCAACAGCATTGTCTGCAAGGAGTGTGGTAACGTCAGCCAGAGACAGGTGCGTCCATGTTTGCCAGGTTTCTCTGCCTCTTTGATGTGGCTCCTTTTTAAAAGTTATATTCTGCCCATTAGTTACTGTTTTTGTCTAAATCTCATGTCAGTAAGATTTAGCAAGACTGACACAATGGGAGTAGTCCTAAGTGGGAAAAAGTCTTACTATAAAATGCTAACACAAAGATGACTAATTAACCCAGCTCTGTTGTCTGTGTCTTCTTTAGGAGGACTTCCTGGACCTGACGGCGTGTGTTTGTGGCGTGTCTAGCCTGGAGGAGGCTCTGTGGAACATGTTTGTAGAGGAAGAGTTGTTTGAGGGCAATAACCTGTACCGCTGTGCACAGTGTAACAAGCTGGTGACTGCTGCCAAGGTCAGTGCCAGCTTCAGACTGTGTCAACACAATAACAATGGTTATATCACAGTGAGCCATAAGAGATAATAAAATTCTCCTTTTCCCTCTTTTTCCCTGGAAAGGAGCATTAAAACTAAACATGTAAAAACTTGTTAAATAAACATGGTCTCCTCGTGTAATTTCTTTTTCTTTTTTACATCAAAACTGTTGCCTTTTTTGTTGTTCCTCACCTTCCTTTACTTATTTTGCTGTTGCAGTCTGCCAAGTTGAAGAAGCTCCCTCCATTCATAACCATGTCTTTGCTGAGATTCAGCTTTGACTTTGCCAAATGTGAGCGATACAAGGAGACGGGACGCTACAGTTTCCCCTTAAGCATCAACCTACGGCCATTTTGTGAAGAGGTACCTGACGGATTTTAACACTAACCTCTCTTCTTTTTAGATCAGGCACATTTAACATGACTCTTCTTAATTGTTGTTCAATAATTCAGTCAAACTTTATTTATACAGCACCCTTAAGAATATTTAATAATGATCGTATTTGTTGTTATTTTAGTTCAGTTTTTTGGTTTCCAGGCTCAAGTGAACTTCATTCTGGAAGGTTTTGACACACTAAGAGGTCTTGATTATATTTTCCTCCCTCACAGACTGATGGAGATGACTCTGATTACTCCTACGAGCTGTTCTCTGTGATTATACATAAGGGCGGCTGCTATGGTGGCCATTACCACGTTCATATCAGGGAC